GTAGGAGGTGTGTGTGTGTGTGTGTGTGTGTGTGTGTGTGTGTGTGTGTGTGTGTGTGTGTGTGTGTGGAGTAGTAGTAGTATACATACAATGGGCTGTGACACCTCGGGCACTTGTATTTGCCATCCATCTTGTTGCAAACCACGCAGGTCTTGGTACCAGCTGGTTTGTTGTTCTTGTTCACCTTCTGGGACGACGAGTCTTCATTCTTGGAATCAGAGGAAGTATTTTGGGCAGAGTCGCAATTCTTGCCGTTTAAATAGTTGCTCTCTGGCGGGGCCGCGGGGCCCTGCGCCGCGCAGTCGTTGACAGAATTGTCACCGTTGAGCACTTGCGCTGCACAGCCCTCAAGATGGTTGTCGCCGTCAGGGATGCCATCCCCAACTGGGCAGGTCGGGAAGGTGTCGGGGAGGACTGGCTTTGAGAAGGACATGTTGACTTGGCGCTAAATCACGGTCTCTGCTTCCTCCTAGCAGTCAGCAATGTGTTAGATTGAATTAATTCTGTGCGACTCATCCCAAGAAAGCAGAAGCCTACTGTTCACAATAAATGTTTTCGCTGCAGTGGAAAGTCCAAGACCAGAAAACCGACTCGCGCTGTCGTCGCACTGATCAAGATAAAGTAAATATTGAGATGTGCACCCAAATCTGGCGGTAGACAAATTATGTCATATGTAATATCTTGTGGAAAGACAATTGATAGCACAGGACGACACAGATCGTGATGCTCGGTGCGGTGTTGAATCAACGCGATAGTGACTACGGTCGTCGCGACAACAAGATTGGGCCTGGGGAAAAAGTTCAAAATTTGGGGCCGCCGAGAGCCTAGGGAGGATGCTATGACGCAAGTTGACAAGGGGCTGAGAGCCCCACAAGGACCCCTGGCCAGCGGCCGATCGGATTTGCTGGGTTTGTCAGCGGATCAGCGAACCCAAAACGCAGCAATCAGTATCTGCCATATGCTCGGAATCGGGAGATGCGCACTACGGGCTGCGGCAATGCTCGGGTCTCCACAACTCTGCTTTGCGTGCTTGGATCTTGCGCTGAAACTTTAATTTTCTTACTTTATCCTCTGTTCTTCAGCAACGCCAAACCGACCCTTTTCATCACTCAGTCACCATGTCAATGAACAGAGTATCAAGAGGCCTTGTGCCTCTCGTATCAAAGCCCGTTCGGCCCCTCTTCTCACAGCAAACCCCCGCAGCTGTCATCAACTCCCTCAGACAAGTGCACACCCGTACAAATGCTGTCTTCAGCCCGTCTAACCGCCGACCACACCTGCGACCCGTCTTTCGTCCATCTCCCCTCCTCCCAACAATCTCCCGCCGAACCATCTTCATCCAGACTGAGCCCACACCAAATCCCGATGCCCTCAAGTTCCTCCCCAACCACAAGATCCTCCCCGAGGGCATCCAGACCTCCTTCATCGAGTACCTCTCCCCGCGCTCGACCATTGCACCGCCCTACCCCTCGCCGCTCGCCTCCCAGCTGATGGCTGTTGACGGCGTCAAGTCTGTATTCTATGGCCCTGACTTCATAACTGTGACCAAGGAGACGGACGCAAACTGGGCGCATATCCGGCCAGAGGTGTTCTCCCTGATTACAGAGGCCATCAGCGCGGGGCAGCCGATCGTGAACATCACACAAGCTGACGCTGCTCAGGGCGGGGAGGCTGCGCAGACGGGTGAGGCTAGTGCGACACAGAGCCAGGGAGAGCGGGAGCAGCAGGCGGAGAAGGATAGTTTGGCATATGATCCCAACGATGATGAGGTTGTAGGGATGATAAAAGAGTTGTTAGAGACGAGGGTGCGACCTGCGATTCAGGAGGATGGTGGCGATATCGAGTTTAGGGGGTTTAAGGATGGGTATGTACATCTCAAATTGAGGGGTGCATGCCGCACGTGCGATTCGAGCACAGTGACATTGAAGAATGGAATTGAGGGCATGTTGATGCATTATGTGAGTTTCTTTGATTCCATTCAACCCCCGCTCGATAGGGAGCTAATACTTGGCAGATCGAAGAAGTCAAGGGCGTTGTCCAGGTCCTGGACGAGGAAGAAGAAATCGCCCTGAGGGAGTTCCAGAAGTTTGAGGAGAAGCTAAGGCAGCAGAAGGGTCAGGTTCCTCCCTCCCTCCCTATTGACTCCGTGAACTGAAACATAGCTCAGGCCCGTGACCTCTTAGCTCTCATTGTGCACTATTATGCTTGTGAAGGATATATACCACTCCTATGTCAAAATACTAAAGGGAGATTGTTGGCTTGTTACGGCGTTACTAGGTGGTTTCTAAAAGATAGAGATTACACCGAATCTGGAAAGATGAAATGCTATGGGTCGAGGATGCCGTTCGCTAGGAGAGGCCCTATTGCGATAGAATAGGAAGGTTATCCTATCAGCTGCCGTGATATTTCAACACTGAGAAACTTATTGCTCACAATATCCCCATTACTGTTCGTTCAAGTTCACCTGCGGTAGACGGCCAAGACGCATGGCCGGCACGAGGATTTGTCATTTTCAATCAGCGTCTCATCGACTATCAACCAATACCATGGTCAGTACCTCAGTGCCATCCTGACAATTGTCCCTTTGACGCCAGATCCTCCATGGAATTGGTTCTTGAAATCCCGAGACAGACGTGCTAACCAGAACATACCGTCCACGCACAGTGATTTCACGGCTCTGCGTCACCCCTCTTCTTCTTTCTGTTAATTTTCTGCGCCTGCCCTTTGTAATTTAGCACGCATAGAAAGCGCCTAACCAATATGAGAAATCTCTTGTCCTCATACAGCTAGAAATGGGAAGCCCAGTTGTGTGTATCTAGTTGGCCCGCAGGGAAGTAGAAAGTCATACATGGCTGGCCGGCTGAGGGGCACTACATCATGCTAAAGTATCAACATGCATATCTGATACTATGGGGTTACTGGCTATGATCATGCCATTTGGATAACGCATTTTTTTTTGACCTGATACGGCTGAGAGGCTTATGCTTCACGCCTGGCTTTGTATGGCTGCTTCAACCCCTCCCCTACGTACACCAGCAAAGAACGCTTCCACGAGCACAAGGCCAGTACAATTATGAACACGGGCACAAGGTGATGTGAAGAGAAGGGACAGGCTAGGATCATTAGAAATTGGGCCAACCAACGTGTTGTCCCTGCTTCTAGTACTTGTGATTTGTACAGTACTTTGGTTATGGTCAAAGGTGAAAATCTGGTGTAGAGACCCAAAGAAGGACTCCCTTTAGGTAGATGATATGGTAGGGTTAGGTGACGGGAAACACTGCCACAAAACCATATCGGTACCTTCTGTGTGCGATTCTGTTCGCGCCTTTCGCAAGCAGATATCATTGACAAGGGAGGGGCTTGAATGCTCTTTTGGCTCTGGCGGGGTAAGAAAATACTTTCTAGCCGGAGAACCAGGAGATTGGGAATCCGTTTAAACAAGAAGAAGCAGGGTCTTTATGTGACCGAAGTCTCCCCGGAGAAGTTGCCATGATGAGGAAAGGTTGAGATGGAAACTTCTTGGTGATGATGACGGTTCAAACATATGTACTTAGGTTGGTTGCAATGATGGTGAGAAGAAATGGTTGGGTTACCCTGTGCTGAACCCACGCAAGGCTGTCTTGATTCTAAATAAATACTGCCTTACCATCCTTCTAATATATTACGATTAGGCTGGTTGATACGCTTTTGCCTTGTTTCTATCCTATTGGATCAAGCAGCCACAACGGCAACCAGCTAGACGCAAGCCTGACGCCGTCTCAAAAACAACATTGCCCCAAAAGTCTCATCCAATCTAGCCCGGTCTTTGCCTCTTCGATGGAGAGACATGATCGGCGAATGACGCTTGATGGGATGGTCTTGTGGCGGGCCGAGTAAGTAGCACAGGATCTTATAGAGCCGAGAACCTTATATTGGTACTTGTACGCATGGGGCATTTCGCGACCATCCATTCGAGAACTCGTCATCTTGCAGCAAAGCAGGCATGGAGATGGGGCTTCCCTTGCAGCGGCAGCAGCAGCAGCCCCAAGAGAGAGAATATGGGCCCATCCTATGTAAAGGGTGGGGGGACCGCGTGATGCAATTGCAGCAATGGGCCCTCTCCACTCACTCACAAGATGGAGGTGACGTCCGTCCGTCCCTTGTTGGGATGCTGAAGGCTACGAATGGGATAGATGGGTTGGACGGGCAGCGCAACCCGTCGCGGTGGGTATGGTTGAAGCTTCTTTTCGATCCAGCAGCAGCAGCTTGACTGTGGGCAGCTAGTGCATGGATGCAGAACGAACTGTTGGTACTTAAAACACCTGTGGAGCACTGTAAATGGATTGCCTATGCTTACCTATGTACCTTTGACAAATGGCCAATGGCTAGTAACGTTGAACGATACACAGTATACCCGGGCGTTTCTTGACGAACTCCAAATGCCATGATGCGGGGAACCCGTTCAACTGGGTTGCACAGCAGCACTAGACATGCCACTTTTCTGCCATTCCTTACCGCAGAAGTGTGTGCGACCTGGCTGGTTGTTTGTCCGAGATCAATGCTGCGGAGGTTTCGTCCACACAAAGTTAAACGGACAGAGTACGTTCCCCTCCCCTCCCCTCCGCTCCGTCAGTACCGTACCATGTATGGTGACAGCAGCTTGCTGCGAGCGATGTCAAGCTGCATCTCGTTTGACGCCACCGACGGCACGGAGCAAAGACCCTTGGGGGCGGCCGGTGAGCTATGTAGGACGACCTGGGGTTGTTGTCATGGATACCTATGTGCGAGAGCAGGGCGTTGCAGTTCGCTCGGCGAAGGTGGTTCCTTGGACCTGCAATTGCCAACCGTTTTAGGCGGCTTGCAGGTCAAGCAAAACGTTCCGTTGTGTCGTAAATTGTCTGTGGAGAAACAAGGTTCCTTTCAGGACATGTCCGGCTGCTTGGCGGGGGTTTTGGCGAAGGCACATATTGGAAGCCTGCAAGTGGTCAAAATATCCTGTCTTCAATCATCAGGGCGGGCTGCCATTGACGAGATGCTATGTGCTTCTAGCGACCATGCTATAAGCTCGGCGGCAGGAGAAGAGGTCGAGGTGGTGTCGCAGTGTCGAACTTGTGGACGGATGCGGCTTTCACTCCACGAGATCTACAACCATTGCCGTAATTCAACTTCCATGATTTATTGGCAGCATGGTCATTTCCATTGTTGAGCATGTCAAGGGATGCGACGCTAGCTATGCTTACTTGAGTACCTGCACACAGAAGACCCGAGCAACCATTGGCGCCGGTATTGTCCATGATGCCGCAGAAGGACACGTTCCGGGATGCGGGCCTAACAATCTATGCCCCACGATTGTTGATGCATCAGAACACTTCTCTCGAAAAGCGTTCCATCCTCGACGGCTCATCGTCCATAGCCATTGCCCATGTTGCATGGCGCATGGTCTGGAGAGCTGCAAGCCTTCTCTGGTAGTCCCTCTTTTCCCCGCCTTCAACGCGGAGACCCCTGACAGACCAGCAGCCAATTCGAGAGTTTGCAGGGATCATGGGTTCCAGACGGCCCCGCAGCTGCTCCCACAGTGCGACTTGGTCTGTGGACCTCTGCCAAGCTTGGGCTGCTTTTGGTAATGTGCTGTCGTGTAAGACACGGAACCAGGGAGAGAGAAGTGGATCGACAAACTGCGGAAAAAAAATATGAATGCAGAAAAAGTAAGAGAATAAGCTTCATAGGAGGTTTGAAAAAGGTGACTGATAGTGACGGAGCACGTTACCTGTGCAGGAAGTAGAGGGATAAGCTGTGTCTGAGCTGAGTTGGGCAATATAAGCACCTGCACCAGGCTGTGTGCAGTGCAGTGCGCAAGAGCAACGCCGGCGCACAAAATCTACTGGATGGTACTTGGCCATGGCTTGATGTTCCCTCCTCAACAACAGGCCGCAGAATCGCGATTATGGTTCGGAACACCCAGGATTAAAAAGATCTCGATCTGATTAATAGCCGTGATAGTCTGAGCTTATTTTCTATGGCAAGTCTTCATCAATTTTGTGGCCGATCATCAGACTCATGACAGTGCGGATTACTGTGCGCAAAACGGTGGAGTGACTTGACCCAAAACCTCAACCGGTGAGTGGTGAAATCTGCAGGACAACCTGCTCTGGCTTGCGTGCCATCGAACACGACAAGGACACACCACCATTTGTTGCAGCTGGCCATCCAGACCTCGCCGTCGACCCTCCAGTTGTCTCAGCTTAAGTATTTGCAGCATCTGCTCCAGCTCTCAAAAGTGAATGTTGTGCTGTAGAAATTACCTGCTTCGAGCCCATCCCACAGGACAGTCCCCAACTCTGTGCTCAGCCCAGCGCCAGAGCAAAAGGCTAGCAGCCAGCGTTTGGATTCTGCAGACCATCCACCAGTGACGCTGCTGTCTTTGTCGCTGCGGGGTCACCGTTTCGTTCCAGTGCCCCCAGCCCACGTTTTTCAGATGTTCCATGATCCCTCCCTGCTTCTGCGCCTGGACCGCCAACAGCAATCGTGAGGTTTCGTACGGGACGGCAATCCGTAGCGGTCCCGGCCTGCTGGGCAATTCTCGAAGGCCAGAGTCCCGCATCGTCTCGGCCAGCCTACTCCGATTGTCTGGGGAAATCTGATTTTGGACGCCCCTCCCAGGCAGATTGTCCGCCCTCGAAGCATCGCCACGGGGTCAATGTATCGCGGCCGTCGGCGCACCTGACTGGGTCCACTAGCAAACCAGCCACTAAGAAGCCGTGTCCTTGCCTCCCAGCTTCCCCGCCCATCCCCCGACCCTACCCACAACTATACCCACCCACCTTACACCCTGACCTTACTAACTTGCCTTCCTTACCTTTAACCCTGACCTTTACCTACCTACCTTTACATAGCACTTGGCTCGGAGCCACGAGAGAGCGAGAGCGCTGACCTGCAACCTTGCGCGTTTCATTAATCCGTCCGTGGACTTCAAAGCGCATCTTCATCTACCTTTTCCTTTTTTTCCCCCCTCCTGCTACCCTCCGCTCTCTTGTCAGCCCTTACCGGGCCTTTGTCCTCTCTTATTCCGTTTTGGGGGATCGACTTTGCGTGGACGACGCGCGCATCCTGCAACGTTGCCTGCCATTCGGGCATCCTCCCCTCGACACTAACCCGAGCACTCATAACGCAAGTCTGCCCACACCCCGCGGCCGCGCGACTCGGTTTCCTGCCCTCCTTCAGGTCAGTCGAGCGACGGGATCACTTGCTATGGGAGCTTGCGACTAGCATTTCGTCGTCGCATACTCCACGGAAGCGGCCCGCGACATACCACAGCGTCTCTAACTGCGGGCTTCATCTTGCCGACCGACAAGATCAATCCGTACGGTCCGACCCGTCCCGGCGAACAACTCGACTTTCACACAATAACCTACCGTACGTATACCACATAATACTCTGTCCTAACTTCGACTTCCTGGCTCGCATGATCACGGCGTCCCAATCCTCGACCGAGCTGCCGTCCTGAGCCTTTCACGATACGTTTCACGACCTCTTCGACTAGACTCGGAATAAAAAAAATAATAAATAGACGGCTCGGAGGAAATACCCATCGCATAGACTTGGTGGTTCGGGTTTCCTGTTTGTGTAAAGGAGTAGGTGGCCCTAGCTTTGTTTTCGCGTGACCAGCGACGTCATTTTCGAACCTTATGGCTTTTGGCCGGAGGTCTGTTCGGACGAACTCGACCCTAGGCGAGTGGCCGCGAGGCTTTGGCTTTTTTGTGTTTTTCTCCCCTACGCACGATGCACATCACAATTGCGATGAGGAGATAATGATAGTTTCGAGCCTCTGATCTGGCGGCGCTAACTCTGTTGCTTGGCAGTTCTGGTTCTGTTTCGGCATTAAAACGGTCTCTTTGTGACAGTCTCTCTCACACACATTTCAACCCCCTCCTTCCTCGCCCGAGCAAACCTCGCCACCGCGGACCCTCTTGACTGGACCTTGCTTTATCATAGAAAGGTTACAAGTCACTTGAGGTTCTGCGATTGATGAACCATACATCCTAGGCACCGGCCGCGAGCTTCATCCAACAGCGATTATCATCCCGAGTCACCTCTCATCCTCAAGATGAGCTCCAGCGTCATCAAGCCTGGGACCCCCTCCAAGCCAGGCCAAGGCTCCTTTCCTCCCACCAGCCAATCCATCCTACGGGACAAGCTGACCCGGAGGTCGAGCCCTGATTCAGAGGCGCTCGCAAGCTCCGATGAAGAAGGCGAGCTTCCGCCCCTCGAGAACCCTACCCCTCCTGTGCAGCCTCACAAGCCCGTGCGCCGTTCTTCGTGGCTGAATGAGACATCCCAACCACCGCTCCTGACCCAGCGCAAGGGCTCATTTGCTAGCAGCACTATGTCGCCTACCGCCTCTCATCCGAGCACTCCGGCCGGTGAGTCTGGCGTTGCGGGCTGGAGCACTCACCCTGCTCTGAGTCGCATCCACACAGGATCGAGCGCCTTTCCCTGGTCGTCGGGCATCTGGAACAATGACAGCAAGAAGGACGCTGCCTCGCGCTTGGCCGAAGTGGTGCCTTCACCGACCTCGACCGTGCCGCCCGGCAGCTCAGGCAACTCCTTCTTTAGCGAGAGCGGGGCAACTCAGGCCTCGCCTGGCCCGCGTGATCCTCCTAACTCGCAGATCCCCTTCGCCATTCCGCTGCACCCAACTCCCAAGGCTTATCGCTCCCAGTCTTACTCGGTCGGGCAGCTTGAACCCGATGCGGCGATTCCCTCTTTGACCGCCTCATCCATCTTGGGCAGCCGCAGCAGCCGTCTCCCGCACGGTCTCCATCATCGCCCGTCTCGGCCTAGCATGCTGAGCGAGATGTCCAGTGAGGGCATGCTTGGGAAGGTGAATGAAGATGACGATGACACCAGCTCGGGTTCTATCCATGGAAGTCAGCAGCACCAGGACCCCGCCAAGACCATCGAGATGCTCCAGCGTGAGAACATGATGCTGCGGCAACAGCAGCAACAGCTGCAGAGCGCACGCCTTCGCCCTCGTGCTTCCACGTCCGGCGCTTTCGGACTCAGCCACAGCTACCTCCATCAGGAACCGCTTCCTGAGGAGTCCGATTACGCGGTCGATGACGAGTTGAACGAGGTTTCTGACTTGGCCGGTCGGAGGAGCCTTGCGCGTCGCATGAGCGAGTTTGGCGCCGGCCCCTTCAGGAACCCTTATTTGCTAGAGAACAAGAAGCTCGAGAACGTTAAGAAGGGCATCTGGCAGAGCTCTCTGGGATTCGGCGGCTTGCCTGAACTTCCCCAGAGCAGGAGGCACTCGTTTGCGGATGTCCCGATCCCGACCCGGCAGGCTTCGATCAGCTCCATGAGCGAAGCTGCCAAGGCGCATGAAGCTGCTGCCCGGGAAGAGGCTGCGCAGGCGCAGGAGCTGCACTCGGCGTATCCCGAGAACCACAACATGGCTGTTTCTTCACAAGGTAGGACTCTACTTACTTACGCCTACCCGGTTTTCTCTATAATGGTCGGTCAACTAACATGAACCAGTCGCTCCGTACTTCACTGGCGGCAGCCTTCTTGGACCCCAGCAGTCTCTCAACCAGGCTGCTTACAACCAGTTTCCGGCTCCGTCGCACTACTCTGGTCTCTCTGCACCCTACTCTAACCGGACTGGCTCGCCTCACCGCAACATGTACGGCATGTCACAGTCAGGACCTCGTCGCGACCAGCCTCTCCACATCGTTCTCTTCAAGTGCTCGCGTGCCGACGTCTTCTATATCCAGGAGGGCACTGGTCTTACCGTCAAGCCCGGTGACCTGGTGATTGTGGAGGCCGATCGTGGTACCGACCTGGGCACAGTGGCACGGGATAACGTTGACTGGCAGACAGCCAAGGAGCTGAAGGAGCACTATGCCGAAGAGCAGTACAAGTGGCTCATGATGTACTCGCAGAACGCGGCTGCGGCACATGATGGTGTCAACGCAGGTCTCATGGCATCGTCAAATGGGCTCCATGGCAGCGCCGTGGGCGGCATGGGCCCCCCGCATCACCACCACTTCCAGGATCCAAATGCGGGTGAGCTGAAGCCCAAGCTGATCAAGCGCCTGGCTCAGAATCACGAGATCCTTGCCCTGCGGGAGAAGGAGGGCAACGAGGCGAGAGCCAAGCGCGTGTGTCAGCAGAAAGTCAAGGAGCATGGCCTCGACATGGAGATTCTCGATGCCGAATTTCAGATGTAAGTCTCTCTTGAAAAAAAAAAAACAAAAAAAAAACAGAAAAGAAGCTTTGCTTTTTCTCGAGATACTAATTGTCGCAGGGATTGGAAGAAGCTTACTTTCTACTACTTCGCCAACACCTACATCAACTTCAACGCTCTAGTCACAGATCTCTTCAAGATTTACAAGACGCGCATCTGGATGTCGGCGATCAACCCAGCTTCGTTCGCGAACCCTCACCTGGGTCTGCAGGCACCCAGCGGCGTTGGCCCCGGAGCTGTGGTCAACCGTGGCCCAGCAGCTCGGCGCCAGCAGCAGCAAGAGGCGCAGCAAGAGTCACATGCGGCCTACTCTACGTCTAATCAACCCGGGCGTGGCCTGCTGCCAGCACCATACGGTCCCGAACGCCCGCCTGCCCTGGGATCCAACTTTGCGAACAACAACTACGCCTACACCAACCCGTACGCGGCATTCGGTAACGCTGTCCTCGGAAATAATGCCCTTGGCAATGCCGCCGCTGCTACGGCTGCAGCTTCCCATCCAGCCGGCGGTATCTCGCCGTATGGTGCCGGCATGACGCAGGGACTTGATGGGTTCGGTTCCAGCACGTACCAGCAGGGCGGTACCGTCGACTTTGCTGCGCGTGCCCGGTTCCCGAGCCCGCAGCCTGCCGCGGGGGTGGCACAGCACGACCAGGCTGCGCTTGCGTCGCTTGGTGGGCAGGGTGATTTGCTTGGTTCGTTCCAGGGCTTGTCGCTCAACTCGCGTTGATGTGGCTAGGGCCATGGGCAGACGCTTGTGCGCTGCAGCCTTGGGACGATTGTCCTCCCTTCTGATTACCCATTACCATTTCCTTTCTCTTCTCTCTCAGCTCATTTTCGGCACACACACACACACCACCTTCTCGGATCGGATCTTTCTCATCTGGATGCGCGATACGGCGATACAGAAAACTACTACAAGACGGGCGGGCTTACGGATGGAACATGAAAGACACTTACCTACTACTGCTAGTACTATACGGGACGGTCCACAACTTTTGTTTTATTTTTTTTTCTAGAGGCTTGACTTGGGAAACATGGTCCAAGATCGGCTGGCGGCCTACTTACTAGACGGATGCATACACCATTTCAGAAGGGCTGCTTTGCATCCTGGAGGATGCTTTCCTGATCATGGATTCTGTTTCTGTTTGCTATACCTTTTCCTCATTTATGTGAGCTTATTTGTGAGATTACGCTTGTTGGGTTCAAACTTCTTCACCAGACTATTCTAGGGAAATTTTTTTTCAGTTGCTTCTCATTCGGTTTTTTGTTTTTTTTTTTTTAATATTCGGTGGTTACCTCCTCCTGACTTTGGGCTTAAGGATTTTGTTACATTCTTCCTCTACCAAACGTAGGGGTCGGGCAAAATGAGAATAGCCTGCGGGTGTGAATCAAGCCTTGTTGACTCAATAGCAGGGAGACGTTTGCTCTTTTCTCTCACTAGCCTCTTACTTTTATCCTTCCATTCCCCTCCATAGACAGAGAGACAGCAAGGCAGACTACTACTATTACTACTGGCACAAGACTCACAGATCGGTTTACTCGGGCAAAAAACGGCATGTTCCTGTAATTCTTTTGTTTTGACTCTCTTCGTTTCCTTTTATCACCAGACTGGCCCGGAGGAAGAAAGACAGAAGAACGAGATGGGCACACACACATCACATAAAGAAAGGTTGCAAACAGCACAAGAACAAAAACTGCACAACAATCAGCAACAGCAGAAGAGTTTGGGTTTTTCTTTTCTAACTTACTTTGAAGGTCAAGACAATCTATGGGGGGAAGTGGGGTTAGCTGTAAACAGAGCAGTGGCATCTTTGCATCACAGACAAACGAAGAAAAGAAAGACTACTGCTGGTTTCTTCTGGCTTTTTGTTTGATCATTATGATGTTGCTATGTGAGATAGGTATGTATGAGATTGCTGGGTTTGCTTGATGTATCTATGTGTAGATTGATGAGACAATGCAGAGTTGTCTTCTTCCATGTTTGTACGGGCTAGCGATAGCTTATCAGGGTTATCATGTTAGCTTAGAATGTGAACAAAAACTCTTCATCTTTTATGGTCCATTCAAATTCGCGGAGGAACGTACTCTTCGTTCCGTTCATAACTTCTTTTCGCGCCAACTTCAGTAGGAGGTGCCTTCTAGCCAGCTAAATTGCTTGAAGACTCAACATCTCCATGAGATCAGACCCATCATGAATTCGTCGTCTTAACAGAATACATCATCGTCTTTCTATATATCTCCACAGCACCAACTTCGCTAATTCTGTGGCGGCACGCCATAATAATCCGCCCACGGATCATCCCTCCAGTCATCAATGATCGTGTGCTCCAGATGGCCAGCAATATCCTCAGCGATGGCTGTGCCGTTGGGGTACTTGGCTTTGATGAAGGCGAAGGCGAGGTCAATGCCAGCTGTTACCTGTTCCCATAAATCTCAGCACAAGCTTGTAATATGTTGGTCAGAGAAAGGAGACGACTTGCCCCCGATGAACTCCAAACCTTCCCGTCGTCAACCCATCTCGCTGGTGAGACCCTATTTATCAACACCTAGTATTAGTCTCTTCTCCCCTTGAAACCATGCCCCACCTGACTATCATGACTCACCACCTCACCTCCCTCCCCATAGCTGTGATAACCCCCCAAGCAGCCTTATTCGTTGTCGCCCGTCGTCCATCCAACACCCCTGCTTGTGCGGCTATCCCTGCGCCGGTGCAGATTGTAATGAGATACTGTAACTTTGGGAAGACAGCACGAATAAACTCAATCTCTGTCCCGAGGTCCGGAGACCGGGCGGCGGCGCCGCCGGGGACGAGGAGCACGTCTATGGACTGGGGAGGGACTGAGTAGGTGTGGGTGGGGAGGAGGCGGGCGTGAAAGCCACGTGGAGGGAGGGGGAAAGTTGAGGTTGAGTTGTCTGTTGACTTTGGATGCAGATACGGATCGCTGTTATCGTTGTTTTTGGGGCTAAGGTTATTGGGGATGACTTGGAACGGGGGCTCTGTCGTCACCGGTTCGTTGAGAGACCTGGCTAGGAATGAGAGACGAAGCTGAGGGGAATTGGGGCCTGTTCGGGACAGGGCTTGGAAGACTTCGAGGGGGCCGAAGACGTCTAGGGCGGAGAAGCCTCGCGGGAGGAGGACTGCGAAGTGGACTGGTGGCTTGGGAGTTGGATGGTTATCGTCATTGTAAGCGAGTTCAGAAACTGAGGGTGTTAGCAGTTGGATGCTATGTTGTGGGGGGAGACGTGAGGGAGCGTACAACTAACAGAGGCTTGTGAGCGTTGAGGGATGGTGTAGCTTGCCGTATGGTGGGTTAGGAGGACGAAGATGAGAAAGAGGGCTCGAAGGGAGAATTTTGAGTGGAAGAGGCTTGGGAGAAGCATAGTGTAGCTCTGGATTGGTGTCACGGCTATGATTCCAGGAAGTTGCTTATGAGAAGGCCTGGTAACTGTGGCACAAACATGTTGAATTTTTGAGAGACCACTCGAACTCATATATCCTGGTTGTTATGGGAAAAAAGAAAAAGAAAAACTTGCTCACTTTTCATAACATCAGATATATTAAAGCCAGAGATCGGACAGGCGGAACCCTTGGTGGTGACATTGTGGATGAGAAAGATAACGACAGCTGGATGGTAGTAGAGTCGGAATGAACCAGAAACTATTGATATCGTGTTCTTTATGAAGCACACAAAGTGGCACGGCAGGATCATGTTGAGTCCTGAGTTGAGCCGAGGGTGACAAAGACACACTATCCTCCTCCAGAACAAGAAAGCCCTTCGATAGCGGAAGTCTCGACAACCGAGACAACCTGAACTGCCATGTGGTTTATCCTGCAACCTCTGCAGTGCTAGTTATAGGCCAGGATTAGCTTGCTTGCTTGCAGGACCTTTTGTCAGCCAAATGGCCATCTTCAGCCGGGGAACGCCTTGGCAGGATTTCCCTCCCAAAGAGTGCCTCGGACGACAACAAAGTAAATCGTGGGGTGTTACGCTGGAACGGCACCTGTAATCCGCATAAGCATCTAGCTTAGCTCCAGGTACAGCTACCCTTCCAATCACCCTAAGTCCATCCAGAATATAGGTTGAGAAAAAAAAAACTCGACGGGTTGAAGCCCTCGACCACCATCCGTCGCGTTGGCTGTCACGAAGAAATAAAATCCCGTTAGTTATGTCGCTTTATACTATGTGTCACTACCAAAATGTTCTCTTCTTCTCAACCCCTTCTTCCCCCTTCGAAACACCACCGGTTATTAGCACCAGCCCCGAGCTCTCCAGCGCGTACTCCAGCCAGTCTACCAAAGCATTATTCGCCGTTACATGCCAGCGCCCGCGACTTTCGGGAGGCCGCAAAATCTGGTAAATAGGACATTCTCCGAATAAGCAGCCGCTACTATACAGTCAAGGCCACTCCTCTTAATGCTGCCATTCTTCACCTACCCTTAAGCCGGCAATCGAGCACTCCTCTCACAACAAGCCCATCACGAAATGATACGTTTAGTCTTCCCGAAAGCAGAACATCGAGATCCTTGTGTCTCTCTTGAAGCACAAGATCATCCATCGAGACTCTCTACTTGACCCGGATGCAGCTCATCTATTTCACTATGTTACCACCCACGAATCCTCGGAATGCTCCAAGCACACCGCAAGCACGACCCGCGTATCAAGTCACAATGACCTCTGCAAAGAACTTTTTCAACAGCCTTTCCAACCGCGGCTCCAGCTCAGACGAGCAAGAATGAGCACGTTTTCCTTGACCCTCGCTCGATTCAGGGCTCAGACTGGCACTGACGGACAAAGCCAAGACCACGACGGACACATTCAGGGTTAGGGTTACAACCAGCCGACGGAAACCGCCGACCCCCACGTTGGGTGTAAGCCGTGACGCAGGTGCTCGACGAGGACCCTAACGGACCCCTCCCCCTCACCGCGCGGGGCCGCGGGGGAGTGGGTACAGCAGCTGCTTCCATACACTGACCCCTCATCGTCCCTCAGCGACATTCTCTCTCTCTCAGCTTCACCTCAACCCCTTCTGCTTCACTCCCAATTTTCTCCGGTCAGCATCAATTCCTTCCATACATCATCAATCCCAACCCAAACAAGCAATTTCATATCCTCTCAACCGTCAAAAAAATGACCCACTCACACTCCCACGATCACTCCCACGCCGGCCACACCCACGACCACGACCACGGCCACACCCACGAGATCCTCACCTCCCCCGGCAGCTACCTCTCCCGCGAACCCCCTCTCACCAACCGCCCCTGGGGTCCCCGGTCCTTCACGATCGGCATCGGCGGGCCCGTCGGCTCAGGCAAGACCGCCCTCATGCACGCTTTATGTCTCGCCCTTCGCAAAACACACTCGCTCGCCGCGGTCACCAACGACATTTTCACACGGGAAGACGCTGAGTTTCTGGTGAAGAACAAGGCGCTTCCAGCGGAGCGAATCGTGGCGATCGAGACGGGGGGGTGTCCGCACGCGGCGGTGCGGGAGGACATCAGCGCGAACTTGGCGGCGCTGGAGGATCTGCAGGCGCGGTTTGACACGGACTTGTTGCTGATTGAGTCCGGGGGGGATAATCTGGCAGCGAATTATTCGAGGGAGTTGGCGGATTATATCATTTACGTGATTGACGTGAGCGGGGGAGACAAGATTCCGAGGAAGGGCGGGCCGGGGATCACGCAGAGCGATTTGCTGGTTGTGAATAAGACGGATCTCGCGGAGGCGGTGGGCGCGGATCTGGAGGTGATGGAACGTGACGCGAGGAAGATGCGGGAGGGCGGGCCGACTGTATTTGCGCAGGTGAAGAAAGGGGTTGGAGTTGAGCACATTGTGAAGCTGATTTTGAGCGCGTGGAAGGCAAGTGGTGCGGAGGAGGATAGACGGGCGAAGGGGGGGCCGAGGCCGACGGAGGGGTGGGAGGCTTTGGAGAAGGAGTAGTAGACTACTGTATGATATTTGGGAGTGGGACTAGAGCTGGGATATGCATAGACAATGGCATCTTAAGAAGAATTGGAACTCACATTCAATTCATACCAGAACTACCTGAACGATAGGGAAAAATGCAACATTTTATTTTTTTTTTTTTTGCCATTACCCCCCCCCTCCAAAAAAAAAAACGCCGATATAGGTAATCCCTTGCGCCAGCTGGCGTCCTATCGAAACCAGAGCCAAAACCCCATCATCTAATTTAGCCCTTACTCAACCATCTCCGTATCCTCTCCCTTCTTCGCCGCAACCTCCTTCTCATCCAACAACGCCCCCTCCAACGGCCGTGCATTCCTAGGCCATACCCTCTTGTACAAACTAACCCCAATCGTATCCTGCGGGTTAATCCTTCCATCAAACGTCGCCTTAAAGTACCCATGCGTGCCAAGTGGCTCCTTGATATACCCACTCCTCCCACGCTTGGTCCACAGCGGCAAAGCCTTGAACCACTCCACGTCCTCACGATTAAAGAACATGTAGCGCACTGTGACAATCTTCTTGTGGATGTGGTACGGGTGGCCGGTGAGGATAGCCCGCTTGGCAATGACGCGCTTGGTAGAGGGAGGCAAGGTCGTGCCCGTGGCGACGAGGGTTAGGGGCAGGGTAGAAGCGGAGGTCTGTTCTTCGGCCTCAGGGTCGTTCGAGGTCGGCGGGTCGCGCATGAAGAAGAGCGCCGGGACAGAGCCCCAGGTGACGGGACCCATGAAGGTCGCTACGGCGGATTGGCCTGGGTGCAGGTAGCGGCAGTACTTGTGGACGTCGTTGGGGGTTGACCCGGGCTGGGAGAAGAGTGGGTTGATGACGAAGCGGCGCGCGCCGTACTGTACGATCATCTCGCTCTTAGACTTGATGGAGGCGGGGAAGTCGGACGGGAGGTTGATGAGGATGTTCATCGCCGTGCGCTTGTGCTCGTGACGCAGCAGCGAGACCAGGGGCAGCGGCTGTCCGGGCTTGTACGACTCGCGTGCCCGCCCCGGCAGGCCCTTGACGTAGACGTTGACCCGGGTGCCGGGCGCCACGCCACCGACGAGGGCCTCGCGCGCCGCCCGGATCCGAGAAGCACGATAATCAGGGATCCGCAGCAGGCGCTGCCACTCTTCCGGCTCGAAGGCGCGGTCCTCTTCTTCAACCCACGGGCTCGTCCTCATGCTCTTGAGGCCGCGGTACTTGGCCAGCCGCTCGCGGGCCAGCACCTTGGGATGCAGCTCGATTTCGTCGGGAAACTCCCGATCGTCCTCCGCTTCCGTTCTCTTAAGTTTGCGGTATGCCTCGAGCGCCCGCATGTCCTCTTCCTCATCGGGCTCCTCGAAGGCTACTGACTGCGGGTACTCGGATGGCCCAGCTTCGGTCATGGCGTCGTCCGCGCCGGCGAGGCCTTCTATGCCATCCTCCGGCCGTGCCGACTCCTCTGATGCTTCGGACTGGGCATCCTCCATATCGAGATCCTCCAGGTCGGTGCCAGAGTCGGAAATGTCGTCGTCGTCCAGGAACCAGGCAGCCTGATATTTGGAGGTGCCCTTGGGCACCCGCTTGGGCAGCTTCCGCTCTTCTTCCTCCTCCTCATCCTCCGAATAGTACCGATGGTCGTCCAGCAGCACGCCCTTCTTCGAGGTCGTCACTGTGCTGGCCGCATCCATCATCTCATCCTCGTCATCGTCCCTCATGACTGCCTCCTCAGGGGCAAGATCCTCCAAACCGTCCCGGTCCTCGGTAGGAGTGTCCAGGATCTGCTCAACATCCTCCATAGCGGTATCGTCGCCCTTGCGTTTTCGCACAGTAAGAGGGGCAGCCGTGATCTTCTCGACCTGAAAGGTGCCCCAGTCACCGATCTGGACAAGCCGGTCGGCCTTCAGCCCCTTACCCCTGACCACACCCGTGACGATGCTCGGCTCGTCGGCCGACGCACCGAACTTGACGTCCTCGATCAGCATCCAGCTCCGCTCATCCCTCCACCGGACGCCTTTGGGGGTTGTGCTACATAGCGACCGCATAAGGTTGGAGCACTCCTGGCGGTTATCCAAGTTGTAGATCTTCTCCTGCTCGGGATGGAAGTGTGTGATGTACGACTTGAGCGAGGCGACGACCGAGAGACGCTGCTTTTGGGGCTCGATCCTGTTCAAGCCCTGGACGACAGTGAACAGAGTCGACATGCCCTGGCTCTCGACGCTGCGCAGGATCAGCTCACCCAGCTCGTCAACCTCCACATGCGCCGACAGCACGAGCACAATGAAATCTGCCACACTGCAGGCGTCCAGGCAGGCGGTCAGGTCGCGATTCAGGGCGATATACTGCAGCTTCTGCTTGAAGCGGTCGACAGGCACGCGGAAGACGCCGTCGCGCACGTCGGCCTCGATGTCGATGCTGTCGTTGAGGGCCTTGATAGCGGCGACTGCGTCGGTGTCGGGGCACAGCGGGATCACGGCGACGTTGCGGGGGGCGCCGTCACGGCCGTTGAAGACGGAGACCTCCTTCGCATGCTCGCGCGACTTCTCGAGCAGGCGCTGCTTCGCCTGGTTGCGGCGGTCGAGCTTCGACATGACTTGCTGGTGAGGCGTCTTGCGCTGGCCCTTTTCGTTGGGGACCCTGCCTGGGGGAGGGGTCAGCGTGATGTTTGGAAAGGGATGTGATAAGTGTGAGAGAGCCTCTTATATGTTGCCCTGCATGCTGATTGCTTGACAGCCCAGGGGGCTGCGGGGTGACTCAGCCGGCAACACAGAGATGGGCCAGAGACAGGCACACCGCTCCGCACACGGTATCAAGACATACCCTTTGCGGCATCGCGGAGCGCGCGCTTGGTGGCATGCCGCGACTTGAAGGGCTTGTGCTTCGTCTTGGTGGTCGGGCGGTGATGGTGCTGCCCGTTGCTGACGGGGCCAGGCATGCTTGCGGTGCCTGCTTTGAAGCGGAACGGAAGGGCCGTGGACGCCACTTTGTGTTCTGTTTTCTTCTTATATTTTCAGGAGCAAATCGAGCCGGTTGTGCGAGGGAAAGGGTGACAGCGACGAGGAAATTAGATATGAAATTCAGCACGGCCTCGAGGGGATCAATGGCGGGGCTCTCTTTTTTTGCTGCGGTTGTGTGCTGACCCATTCATATCTTATCTCTTATCAGTGGCTATCATCCAATCATGTGCATGAGTTCAGACTTTTTAGTGGATCACGGACCCGGCCAAATCAAAAATGTCGAGACATGCAGCAGCGAGCGGCCTTCATCTTGGCCTGTCGCTGCTTCGCCTCGCACCTCAATTCCATCCACCCACACCCCATCATCGCACAATGGACACATCAGAAGCCGTCGATCTCGCTCCCGCCCCGGCGAAGCAGGGCCGGCAGGCCAATGGGGCGCACTCCATCGCCAATGCCAGGACAGAATTTCGGTCCAAGGCGGAACTCGACCGCATCCGCCGCTACAAGCAGGCCCAGAAGAAGTACGGCCGCGGGCCGCGCGTCGACATCAAGAGCGTGCGTGACAAGAAGCTACGCCGCACTCTGACGAACCTCGAGAACAAGTACAAGACTGCCGCGCTCAAGGCCAAGGAGGCCGAGATCCTGCTCGAGAACCAGACTGGCTTCCTCGAGCCCGAGGGCGAACTCGAACGGACGTACAAGGTTCGCCAGGATGAGATTGTCAAGGAGGTTGCCGTTGAGGTCGCCCAGAAGAAGTTTGAGCTTAAGCTTACGGAGCTGGGGCCGTATACGTGCGAGTACAGCAGGAATGGTCGGGACTTGATCCTGGCCGGGAGGAAGGGCCATGTCGCGACCATGGACTGGCGCGAGGGCAAGCTGGGTTGTGAGCTGCAGCTGGGCGAGACTGTTCGGGACGCGCGCTTCCTGCACAACAACCAGTTCTTTGCTGTGGCGCAGAAGAAATACGTCTATATCTACGACCACAATGGTGTCGAGATCCACTGCCTGAGGAAACATGTCGAGGTGTCACACATGGAGTTTCTGCCGTACCACTTTCTCTTGGCCACTCTGGTATGTACGAATGTGACAGCTGTGAGGATACCAAGTTTTTATGCTAACACCTCCCCACCTCCCCAGAGCATCAGCGGCCAGCTCAAGTACCAAGACACCTCGACCGGCCAGATCGTGGCCGAGATCGCCACCAAGCACGGCACCCCCGTGTCGCTCACACAGAATCCATACAATGCTATCCTCCACATCGGCCAGCAGAACGGCACCGTCACATTATGGTCGCCCAACTCGACCGACCCGCTCGTTAAGCTTCTGGCGCACCGCGGCCCCGTTAGGTCACTTGCCGTGGACCGCGAAGGCCGGTACATGGTCTCGACAGGCCAAGATAACAAGATGTGCATCTGGGACATCCGCAACTTCAAGGAGGCTGTCAACAGCTACTTCACACGGGCGCCAGCCACTTCTGTGGCAATCTCCGACACAGGTCTTACCGCAGTAGGCTGGGGCACGCACACTACAATCTGGAAGGGCCTCTTTAACAAGGAGCGGCCTGTCCAAGTCAAGGTTGACAGCCCGTACATGACGTGGGGCGGGCAAGGCCAAGTCGTCGAGCGTGTGCGGTGGTGTCCCTTCGAAGACATCCTCGGCATCGGGCACAACGAAGGTTTTTCGTCAATCATCGTCCCCGGCGCAGGCGAAGCCAACTACGACGCTCTGGAGGTCAACCCGTTCGAGACGAAGAAACAGCGCCAGGAGGGCGAGGTCAAGGCGCTGCTCAACAAGCTGCAGCCCGAGATGATTGCCTTAGATCCCAACTTCATCGGCAATTTGGACCTGCGGTCCGAGAAGCAGCGGCAGGCGGAGCGGGATCTGGATCAGCCGGCGCAGGATATTGTCGAAGAGCTGCGCAAGAAGGCGCGTGGTCGGAATACCGCGCTCAAGAAGTACCTGCGCAAGCAGCGCAAGAAGAATATTATTGATGAGAAGCGGCTTAAGGCCGAGGAGCTGTATCGGCAGATGCAGGAGAAGCGGGACGGTCAGACGAAGGAGAAGCAGGCCGAGGTGGGGCCTGCGTTGGCGAGGTTTGTGAGGAAAGAATAGAGGGGACGGATGATACCCTGGGGTGGTTGAGGCTGTGCGGTTGTGGGAATTCATAAACCTGAATATGTATAATGATGTGATTCTTGGTTGGGTCAGTTCTAAGGGTTCGGTTTTGTCAGTAGTGTGATCTATAGCAACATGCGTACCTCAGCAGGGTGGTGAAAATTATATAGACCTTTTTTTAACGCCGCAACTCCTCTATGCAACGCCCATCTATATACCTGATGACAACTAGTATCCTTTTCTTTTCTCCCCTCTTTCCCCCCCCCCCCCCCAATACCTTAATTGATCCTGCAGAATTCCTCACAACAGCTTCAACCCCCCAGTAACCATATCCACCATGCTCTTCGGGGCCGGCCCGACGCCCAACACAGTCCGACTCCCGCTCGCGATCTGCGTCCGTCCGGCATCCTGAATCACCTCAGCCGTAATCCCCAGCTGCCGTGCGCGCGCCTGCAGGTTGAGCAGCTCCTCTTCTGACTTGACTTGCACAGCAATCTTCGCCTGCCCATGCCGCTCCCAGTTGGTAAGCATTCGAGCGTGCGCACACTCAGGGTCGCGCTGAGCGAGACGGTATAGAGTCTTGTAGCAAGCGAGGGTGGCGTGCGAGCATTGCGCGGCGATTTTTCCTTCAACAAAACAAAGAAATCAGCATCTATAAGCTAAGATACGGAAAATTTTTTTTTGGGGGGGGTGGGGGAGGGGAAAAGGAGGGAAGGGGGCAGGTAGGCAGGCAGGCAGACAGACATACCCTTCGTCATCCCCAAATCCGTCCTAACCACCAACACCAGCTTGCACTCCTCCCGTGGATCAAATCCCTGCAATTGCGGCTGCCTCACCACTGCCGCCGAACCAGCCCTGGCACTAAGCCCCTGCCTGCGATCCGCTTCGGGCCCATTAGCCCAGTTTGGCGCATGATCGAGTAGGGTATCGTTCTCGTCGATGTCGGATTCCTCGCTTTCAACGGGGTCTTTTTCGTTCGCTTCACGCTCGGCACGCAGTTCAGGAGAGAAGAACAGCCAGCCGCGGATGGAGTAGACGCCTAGACCAAAGCCGGTTATGAACGCTACGATGGACGTGGTTATCACGACGGCGGAGGGGACGCAGTCGGCGGGATGGGGAGGTAAGGTCGACATGGTGAAGGGATCTCCTAAGGCACCAGTTCAGGTGCTGAAAGGATGGGGTGTGGCGAGTGAATGGTAGAAAGTCAGGTGTGGATTGGAAAGGAAGTCGAAGGGTGAGATGTTGCTAAGGGTCGGGGGGCTGGAATGGAAAGTTGAAGTTCGAAGTCGTCGACACTCTCAACACAGCCAAAGTTGAGCCGCTCGGTGTTGCCTTGGCCCAAATTTAGGGGCGACTCCACTTTTAGCGACCGGGGTACCGCATACGGGGCGATCAGCATTGTTCTTTGCGGTCCGAGAGCAATCGTTTGGATTCTCCCTGGAAATCTTCAAGTCTACACTATTATTCATAATTACTATAAGCTTACTGAAAGTTTAAAGCTTGATTCAGTTCCCCAGAGCACCATAGGAGGACATCGATAGCTTTAATTAAGGCACAAGGGACAAGTACCTGTACCTCATCTCGGTACAGTACACAAAGTGAGATCAAGACTCAAGCCAAATATATGAAACTGACACATATTGCGGTATACAGTGGAAAACAATTATAAAGCAAGCCGTAGGCGGAACAGAAAAAGAAATTTTTTTTGTTCATGCTTCTTTGCGAGCTTTCTATAACATACTTTTAGATATAGAGGAAAACGGAGGGTCGTGCGCTTACTTAAGGCAATGCAAACCTTGGTGCTTTCGAAATCCACAGTCTTTCCATCCCCTAACCCTCCATCATTGCCCCACTTCGTGATGAGGGGCTCAACTTACAACTCCAAGTCAGCCTCATTCCCCCCCCCTCTCCCTTTGTATTTTTTTTTCCATGAATTCATAATGTCATATCCTCCCAGTAACCAACCAAAATGACAGCTTCAGATTCCGACTCCCCACAGCGCGCCATCGTCATCGCCATCAGCGGCTGTTCCTCCAGCGGCAAGACAACGCTCGCCCGTCTGCTCCGCGATCTCCTCCCTGAGACCTTTATCATTCATGAAGATGACTTTTACAAGCCCGAGGCCGAGTATGCTCTTACATTTTTTTTAACATAGCATAATGTACTGTGAGACCTGTTGCTAATTCCGGCACAAAAGACTGCCCATCAAAGACGGCCTTGTCGACTGGGACTGCCCTGAGGCAATAGCCTTTGACGATCTCGAGCGCGCCCTGAGACATGTTCGTGAGAAGGGAACATATCCTGTTAGTGGTGCCGGCGATGTGCCCCCCTCTCCCTCTTCTTCTTCCCTAGCACCCTCAAGACCTGTGCCCCTTTCTCGCCGCAGCGACCACGGCTGTGTGCTTCCTTTACCGCATCCCATTTCTGTCACATCCTCCTCCTCCTCTTCCTCTTTTAATTCCATAGCATCCACATCTGTATCCTCAACACACATCCCTTCATCCTCCACTTCAACAACGGTCAACAGCTCACTCACCATCCCGCCAACCCTCTCCCCCCCGGGACAACAGCCCTTCCTCGACTCCAAAGAAGACCTCAACTCCGTCGGCCCGTCGCCCGTAACCCCCGATCAAATCGCCTGCTGCAGAGCCAAAATCAACGAGTGGCTTTCCCCCGGTCACCCGGGCTCTCTCATTTTCGGCTCTCCCTCCTCCCCCGACGACAGCAATCCGACCAACACCAAACCGAGGATAAGACTCTGCATCCTAGACGGCTTTCTCCTTTACACCCCGACCACCACCCCGCCCCCCTCGGAATCATTCTTCCCCCTGTCCAAAATCCAACCCCTCCTCGACATCAAACTCTTTCTGACTGTCTCCAAATCCTCCGCCACCCGTCGCCGCGAAGCCCGTGACGGGTACGTCACACTAGAAGGCTTCTGGAAAGACCCGCCTGGGTACGTGGAGAAGATTGTCTGGCCTAATTACGTTGAGGCGCACAAGTGGATGTTTGAAGGGGGGGATGTTGAGCGGGGTGTGGTCAATACAGAAGTGGCTGATAGGGAGGGTGTGAGGGTTATGGATACACAGGGAAGGGGGGATGTTGAGTTTGGGGAGGTGTTGAAGTGGGCTGTGGGGGAGGTTATGGGGGAGGTGGAGAGGTTGTGTTTAGGAGATGGTAAATGATGGGGGTATGTTTGACTGGGAAGTCGTCGTGGTTTCAAGCTTTGATTGAAAAAAAAACAAGAAAAAGGGGAAAAAAAATTAATTATCCGTGCATAGACAGTCACTGACTGTATGGGGAGACTGATTTGGGTCATCATCATCATGATAAAAATGGTACTCTAAGAAATGTATATACCAAGAAGAAGAAAAGTATAAACATGCAAAGGAAAAAAAAATCATCATTCAACCCAATGCAACCCCTATTTCCAGCCGCTAAATCATTCCATTCCCAAGACAAGATCCTATGCAAAATATCCACAATCTTAACCCTCATTTAAATCACTTAAAGGTAGGTAATCCAAATTACCAAGGTATTAAAATCACCAAGGTAATCTCATCCCTGCATTCCCTTCCCCACCAACCATCCAAATCTAACGCCACGAAGCCTCCTGGGTCTGACTCGGGCAGTTCCCGCTCGCGGTCGGGGTAAAGCTCCTATTCGGATCGCTCTCCCACTGCACCGACCCATTCGAGTTGACCTTGATGAACTTGTACTCAAAGCTCGTCCCCTTCTTCAGTGGCACAGTAATGCTCCAGAGCGGGTTGCTATCGCCCGTGTAGCCGACCGCGCTCAGCGGGATCGCCTTGTTCGTGTTCCAGCTGCCCAGCTCGGGGATCGAGCCCACCAACTTGACCGTCTGGCCCCACTGCGTCTGGGCGCGGTGGTGAAAGGTGACGTACACCTCGTTCGCGTTCTTGCAGGTGGTCGGGAAAGGCGAGGGAGCCGGGGCGGCGCCGGATTTGGGGGTCTGTTTGGCCGGGAAGGAGGTCGCGGTCGCGGTCGCGTAAGTGCCGGCCACCTGCAGGGTGCGCGAGCAGGACGAGGGGACGGTGTTGCCGTACTGCGCGGACCAGCCCTCGGGGACGATGCCCGCGCGCCGCTCGGCGGCGGTGATGAAGGCGGCGTAGGACCAAGTCAGGTGGGGCGCGGCGATGGGTGCGCCCGTGTTGCGGTCAAATTGCTCGGTCAGGGAGCCGTCCGAGGGAGTATACTTCTCGGCGATGGCCATGAAGTCATCGGCGTAGGTCTGGACGGCGTCGATGATGGACTGGAAGGTGGAGGAGCGAGAGTTGTAGGTGCCCGTGGTGATGGAGGGCAGGAGGTCCCGGAAGAAGGGAAGGGAGACAGAGGTGATGGTGATGGAACCCTGCTTCTTCCAGACGTAGAGGGCGTCGTAGAGCTGCTCGGCGGCGGCAAAGACGGCCAGGTACCACGGGTTGCCATTGTAGTAGACGTCCTCGCTGTAGCGGCCGACGGCGACGGCGCGGCCCTGGGAGATGCCTCTGTTGATGGAGTAGACGGAGCGGAAGGAGTCGACGTAGGCCTTGTGGTTGGCCAAGGCGCGATCACTGCAGGGCTGGAAGGTCGCCGCGTCGCAGCCGACGGCGGGGTCGAAGTTGTGGATGGAGACGAGGATAGAGTTGGCGTCCTTGCCGCTGCGGTTGTGACCGTGGTTCAGGTTCGAGTTGATGTAGTTACCATTGGAATTCCAGAAGGTCTGCTGGTAGCACAGGACGTGCGGGGCGACGGTGGTGCAGGCACGGCACTCGAGGCCGAGCTGAGCAGCCAGATGGGCACCCTCGACGAGCGCACGGTGCGAGCTGGCGACGGTGAAGAAGGAGTTGCCGGCGACCTCCTCCCACAGGTCGAAGCCGGACTCGGACCAGTACTGGGCGGTGTAGGCCAAATCGTTCTGGATGACGGGCCACACGACGGTCTTAGCAGTCGACTCGTAGCCGTTCTTGATGAGCCACTTGGCATAGCGGATCAGCGCAATCGCACGTAGCGGCGGGCCGTCGCGCTGCGGGCGACCCCATTCGCCGTTGAAGCGGGTCAGGTCGACGTGGAACTTGGGCTCGCCCAGGCCGGCGCCGTCCGACAGGCCACCCGACGGGTTGGTGACGCCCTGCAGCTTGGCCTGCGAGGCGATAAAATTTTGGATGTTGGTCTGGAGAGTGCTGTTGTACGTGTGTGAGAAGGAGTCGACGACGCTGGTGAAGACAAGGGCTGCATCACGGGTCCAGGTGTAAAAGTCTTTAAAAAAAAATTAGATAGCATTAGCATCTTTCATCTCTGCCTGAGCAACCACCCCCCCCCCCTTTTCTTCACTAATAATGACACAACTCACAATCCGGATTTGCCTTGGACGGGCTGGCAACAACAACACCGGTGGCGGCGCCAGCGACCCGGCAGCCATTCGGACCGCCGATATTGCACAGCAGGTTGTTCCAGGCGATAGGTGTCTCACGCTCGATGTACGAGTCGACGGCACGCTTGAGGATATGGGGATCGCGCTTCCCGCTGGCCGGCCGGGCAAAGGCCGACTGGAAGGCACATGCGCCCAGGAGAAGGAGTGACGAGAGAGGCATGGTGAGCTGCTGGATGCCCGGGAAGATAAGGTCGGAGACGTTGCAGGACTGTACAAAGCCCAAGAGCTGTTGATGGTGATGTGCGAGGAGAGACGCCATCCTGACGGCGCTTGTCCTACCTTCCTACTACTTATATACTTCGATCGCCGCGCTCAGGAGTTGGGAGAGTCTTGGACCATCACAAGGGTTAGCGGCGTCACGACTCTCGATGTTACCAAACGTAGACTCCGTCATTCTCCCTTCGAGCATCACCGATATCTCCCTGGCACCCTGTCGGCCTGTCTCGTCATGCCCGTCCCTTCCACTGGGTCCCTGGCCACCCCTGGCTCGCAGGGCGGACACTAATCCTTCGCCGTCCACTCACAACGCTGCAGCCGCCCACGGCCACGTCACTGGCGGATGACGGGGCCACACCAGGGGAAGTGTAAAAAGCGCAATCACCTCACATTGGCAGCATCGAGGAACTCACAAACAACTCGACCGGGGGCAGAGTGAAGCAGAATGAGGCCGAGGATGGAGTCCTGATGGAGATTGGTCGGCGGTGAGACATGCGGAGGAACGTGGGAAGGGCCGAACAGATCGCTGAGCGGTCTTGGATTCTGTTCTTCTCGGCCTTTCTCTGGCTTTTTCTGGCTTGGTTCGACGCAGCAGCCGGGGCTCAGTGCAACGTCCGAACGGCCTTGCTCGGGGCTTGACGTCGATGCGGGCTCGGCGTCTTGGTCTTGGGGATGTGTCACAGTGTGTGCCTGCGTGTGTGGATATGGGGCAGCTGGTTAACCCAAGGTACCGAAACACCGGAGGGTCTGGGCCCCTGGGGTAACGCTGGCTGGGGACAAGAAACGGCGACGATGGACACGATGGACACGAGGCCAGTCAGAGACAACAGGTGAAGACGAACATCACTGAGCACGATGGTTGGAAGTTGGCCTTGCTGAATTATCTCGAGAACCTCTGATAGGCACGGCTAGCCGGCGGCCAGGTACAAGGTACGTACTTATCGGGGTCATTGGCAGCATGCAACTGCTCGTTCGGCTTAGCGTGAAATTATCTTCTAAGCGAGGCGTGGCGCGAGAAATCTGGGGAAGCTGGGAACTGCAAACTGGAAAACTACCAAAGTGTGGAGAAAGACGAGCCTCTCCCCCGCAACGCCATCGACGGCCGGAATGCTGCATCAAGCATGTCGTCGTCGTGCTGGCCCATCGTGGATCCTCCATCGAAATCGGTCCGTTCCTGGCGTCACGCCTATTCATCCTTATTCATCCAATGCCGTAATCGATCGAGTCCCTAGACCTTCCCCCGCATCGGCATTCGGCTCAGATCCTTGCGGGGCTCCAACGGCTTCCTCCACGAGAAGGGAAGCTCGCCCCGACTGTAATCTTCGATGCCATGCGCTGTCGGCCGTTGGAGTGCATCACATGCCAGCGGCAGCATGAACACAGACAGGGGCACTCCCCTTCTATGCGTTTTTCGCCAGTCTTGGCAGGACGTCTGAGCCACATCCCGGCCATCGTCGGCGTCAGCCACGGCAAATGACCTGACCCAAGAGAGTAGCAACGACAGTCCTCGGGGCTTCTAGAAGAATAGCGCCGTCGTATGCTGTAGCTTGCTGACAGTCGTCATACCGATATGCCTTTTTTTTTTTTTTTGCGAAAGTTTTGTCGCCGTTGTCCTTGGGTCAAGCAAGCATCACGTAATGCCTCTCTTCTCATCGGCCCTTTTCTGCTGAGAAGACAGCGTGAGTGAGAGACCGAGGAGGCAGAATCTCCGGGGTTCACATCATCGCTCAGTCGACGGGAAGTGGGCAAAAAAAACTAGTAGATGGGATTGGAAACTGAGAGAGTCCATGGGAATCCAGAATTGCATTCAAACATCGACTCCATCCAGCATCCAAACACCGATATTGACCCCAATGCCACTCATAACATGCACATATCATGAGGTCATCCAGTGTCAAATGTCAAAAAGAAACATGCAAAATCCACGTCATGACGCAGCAAAAATAGAGCGATGCTCCCAAATATGTCACGAGATCATGTCAAAACATGCCCAAACATGCCCAGATACACGTCCAGACACATCAAAAACGAGCACAGAAATGCTTCAGTACAAAATGTAGGCAGCTATGGTTTTTCCCAGCCCCATAGACCGACGGTCTCGGCTAACGACTTGGAATATAGCGTCTCGGACCTGGTTCACCAAGCTCAAGCTGTTTCCAGCGAACGAGGCTCCCCAAGGTTCGGTTGCTCTGGGATCTGTCGGGAGGATGATTGACACCATGGGGTATAGTGATGGCTCCTTTTTATCGCCGAACTGCCTCAGCTCTCGACCCTAGCCACCCGAGGACGGCAGAGGAGCGCTGGGCACAGATCCGTGGTTGTGTGAAGAGAGAAGAGAGAAAAAAAAAAAGGGACAGAGAAGCTCACGCTAAGTCGCCTTAAATAGCAGAGAAAAAAAAAATTGGACTGGTGGGGCTCGTCTGCAGCAACAAACGTGCACAGGCCTCAACGGGTAGGCCGCTGATTGGCCGATTCAGGTTTTGACTTTTCGGTGCCTGGTGGGTATCATTGTCTTATCTTATCGCCCATTCAGCCCAGCAACCTGACCTCGGCCTGCGCTCCCATCCTGCACGTCGCGGCTTGGCTTGGCGTGGCGTCAAGGACAACTTCTCTCTCCACATCTACGCGACTCATACCTATCTCATCCCAGCGTTTTCCCGCATCCCAAAGCCACAATGGACGCAGCGTCAATCGAAGAAATTAACAAAGTCCGGCGGGCGCTCGGCATGAAGCCCCTGCCGGTGCCGGGCGCTGCTCCAGAACCGTCCGACACCAAGAAGCCGTCCTCTACGGAAGACGACGAGCCAGGAAGCACGCTCGAGAGCCGCGAGGCGCAAGCGACCGAGAACTTCAAGAAGGTGCGCGAAGCGGAAGAGGCGCGACGCCGGCGCGAGGAGAAGGCTGCCGCGATCAAGAAGGCGCGCGAGTTGGCCCTGCGCAATGCGGTTGTCGAGGGCAAGACGCTGGCTGACGAGGTCAGTGATGATGAGCTGGATGTGAAGAATTGGTTGAAGGGGCAGAAGAAGAGGCAGAAGAAGCTGGAGGAGGAGAAGAGACGGCGTGAAGAGCAGGAGCGCGCGGAAAGGGAGAAGGAGAAGGCTGCTGCTGCGGAGCACAGTTTGGCGGGCGTGAAGGTCGCGCATGATTTGAACGATTTCTTGGGGGCGGAGGAGCAGATTTTGACGTTGAAGGATACAGGTGTGTTGGAGGCAGAAGAAGAAGGCGATGAGTTGGAAAATATTGCGCTGCGCGAGCAGGAGAAGTTGAGGGAGAAGCTGGAGCTAAAGAAGAAGAAGCCGGTTTATGACCCGACGGAGGACGAGACTATGCAAGGAGGCATCTTGTCCAAGTATGATGAGGAGATTTACGGAAAGAAGAAGAAGGCCTTCACCATTGACCTTAACGGGGTCAGCACGGTGTCTGGGGAGGGAGCAATCCAGAACGTGTCGGCGCCAGTGGAGAAGAAGCAAGTGGCAGTGGCAGTGGATTCCATTGATGATATTCTTGGTAGGTTACATTTGCTGGCTTTGCGCTTGAAGAGCCCGTGCTTACTCTCGACAGGACCGGAAACCGCTGCACCGACGTCAGATTACCTAGACCCGTCCGAAGTGAAGGTCAGGAAGCCAAAGAAGAAAAAGTCCAAGTCAACACGGCGACAAAAGGACGAAGATGATATCCTCTTCCAAGGAGATATGGCCAACGGCGAGGAAGAGCCCCAAGAGATGGAGATCGACTCGGCCGCGGCGACAGTCCCCAAGAAGAGGCGAATCGTGGACGACAACTTTGTCGACGACGACGATCTACAATCATCCCTCTCTAAACAGAGACGAGAAGCCCTCAAGAAGAGGAAACGGCTGCGTCCAGAGGACCTGGCACGGCAATTGCGCGAGCAGACTGGAAACGGCAACGGCGAAGCAGAGGATGAAGAAGCCCAAGGCGAGATCATGGACGAGGTCAGCCGCTTCGTCGACAGCCTACAACCCGAGCTCTTGCAAGAGGAGAAGAAACTGCGCAAGCCCAAAGTGGAGGAGGTTCCTACCGTAACGGCCATGCAAGACGAAGAATCCTCCTCCTCTTCCTCCGAAGACGAAGACGAAGAAATGCACGACGTCGACGCCTCCCAATCCCTCCGCGAAACCTCCGCACCGCTCGCCGAAGTCCCCTCGACGGGCGTCGAAGAAGAAAAGACGGTCGCCCAAGGCCTGGGCGCGACACTCGCCCTCCTCCGCGAGCGTCGCCTCATCGAATCAGATGGCAAGGGCGAGGAGCTCACCGAGCAGTTCCGCCAGCGCCAGCGCTTCCTGGCCGAGCTGCACCGCCGCATGGCCCAGTTCGACGCCGAAACCAAGGCCCAGCGCGAGCGCGACCGGCAGTCGGGCAAGCTCGACCGCATGTCGGCGCGCGAGCGCGAGGAATGGCAGAGGCAGCAAAACGCGCTGCGCGAGCAGCACCAGGCGAGGATTATTGATCAGTTGTATAGGGAGGGCTACAGGCCGAACGTGGAGCTCAAGTATATTGATGAGCATGGGCGCAGGCTGGATCAGAAGGAGGCGTTCAAAGAGTTGTCGCATCAGTTCCATGGCAAGACCTCGGGCAAGGGCAAGACGGAGAAGAAGCTCAAGAAGTTGGAGCAAGAGAAGAAGAGGATGGCGCAGAGCGTGCTGGATGCCAGTCAGAGTGTTGGTGGGATGAGTACCGCGGCCAGCCAGCAAGGAAAGAAGAGACGGGAGGCCGGCGTGCGGTTGGCTTAGCTTGGCTAACTCTCCTACTTGCGCCCCGGATTGGGGGCTTGTGGTTGCAATCTTGTACGGTATATCCCTTTCTGTTAATATGCAGACGTTTGTGCTGACATGGTATTTAGTTCGAGGTGGGTGCCGTGTGCCTTGAGTGTGCTGCTGTGTGATTATTTGCCCATTACTCCGTGATGCCCTGCTATCTTCCCCTCCCACATTATGTGCACATTACGTTTATGATATCGTAGATACAATCCTACCCCTGTCCTTCTCCTTCTCCTTCTCCTTCTTCTCCTTCTCCTTCTCCTTCTCCTTCTCCTTCTCCTTCTCCTTCCCCTTCCCCTCCCTCCCTTCCCTTCCCTTCCCTTCCCTCCCCTCTCCTCCCCTTCCCTTCCCTCCCCCTCTCCCTCCCCTTCCCTTCCCTCCCCTCCCCTTCCCCTTCCCCTTCCCCTCCCCTCCCCTCCCCCCTCTTTCTCTTCTCCCTTCATCCCCGGGGTTTCACCCCAACCCTCTCTTCCCAAATCATGCCCTTTTCCTGTCCCTTGCCCTCCAACTCCCATCATCATTATCATCAGTACTTCCCCGCAGCCTTACCCGCACTGTGGTCCTCTACACGAGGATCGAATAGCTCTTGCAGGTAGGGACGTGCCACGCCGGCCCGTCGGCACACAGACAGGTACCAGGTCACCCAGGCCATGAAGGCGAAGGTCAGCAGCCAGGTGATGACCAAGCGAGCAGAACGCCTCGGACGCGTGGGGAAGAAGGGGGAGTAGAGACGGCCCATTGTAGCTGAAGTTCTCGCTCTGGTATTTAATTTGGGGTAGATGAATATTTGAATCCGGCGGTTCAAGTTGCAAGTTCTTGATCGTAATGTTCCAGGATTGATAGGTAACAGCAGGGCCTTGGTTTATGGGTTACGAGTTCCGAGTGGTTCGTTCAAGACAGTTCGTGAGATTTCAAATCCGGAGGGACTTTGGGACCTGTTGACTTTTTAAGAATGAAAACAAGGTTGAATGAATGTTTAGCAGGCCAAGCTTCAACTCTCTATGGAAAGTCGTAATGAAATTAAGAATATATGAAGAATAAACCCGTCGAATCCCAGAAACAAAAAAACAATCAAATAAAACGCTCTAAATGAGCATTTTTCCCCAAAAAAGAAACACGTTCAACATCCGGCATCTCCGCGACAGAGACTAGGATCTCTTGATTCTGCTGGAGATAAAACAATCTGTGATCTCCCAGCAACCGCTGACATAAGCCAAGCCAAGGCGCGCACGGGCCAAAAGCTCCTCTTTGTTCAGCAAAACCTTTCCTCCTCTACATCTTTGGACTTTTTGTGCGTTTTCTGTGCGTAAGCCGTAATTACCGACGGTCTTCATAACAAAAACCATCCATATCTCAGGAACACATCGCTGGCGTTTCTATGCCGGTACGGTCAGGCAAGGCTTTATGTAGTCTGTAAGATCTTGATGGAAGTCTATTTTGAACACGATGCCGGGGAATATCAGAGTCGCTTGACGATGTTGTCAAGCGCCTTCTGACTGATTGAAGTTGTTAGTGCTAAGACGGACTGGACCTATCCTGTAAATCAGTGTAACTTACCGCCATCGCGCACGGGCCCAACGGAAGACAGCCTTTGGCCTGCCACGCAGGCTTGGCAGGGCCCCCCCCTTCGACCTCAGTCCACCAAAACCAAACTTCGCCCAACATCAGCCTCACTACGGACGATGCTGATCATTCAAAAAACTGCCTCAAAAATCTTCCTTTTATGAGAATAGTGAACACCAATTCCCACCTGTAAACCACATACTTCTTATATGCCCTCGAAATGTCAATCAAATTAATAATCCCCTTTGCTGCTCACTTTTCATTCCTTCGGTCTTAGCCCTCGACGATGAGATACATAAACAAACGACCTACACCTCCGTCTCGACATCAGGCTTTCTCCCACTCAGGCTGCCGACCTTCATCAACTTCTTGGCCGCAAAAACAGCCTCGTCCTTGGCGAACTGTATGTTGCGCATCGCCTTCCTGGAAACGGTCAGCTTAACCGACCAGTTTGAGGGGAGAAATGCGACTCACCATTGCATCAACCCCCGATGCCTGCGATTCAAATCCCTGCTCCGCTCCTTATACGCCTTATACGCCGCGATAGGCCCAGTACTACTCTCCGCACTGCACGTGTATTTCTTTTCATGACTGCCCTCACTCCCGTCTTCATCATCACCTTCACCAGTCTCCCCCTCACTTGAGTCGCTCCCCTCTTCGTCACCCTCCCTCCGCCCAAACCATCGCCTCCTCTCCCCCTCCCCCGCCAAAGCCAACACATCCCTACCCTGCACCAGACTCTCCTCATACAACTCCCTCACCAGCCCGGGCACCTCGCCCTCAACCTCCTCTCCCCTAACACCCTCGGCAAAACATGCCTCCCACGTCTCGATCGTCTCCCGCGAGTCGTTGTCCCTCACAAAGCGGATGTGATCCCTGTCCGTGCCCGGCTTGAATCGTCCTTTGAAGTGCACCCGCCCTACTTCGGTCACTTCCAAATCGGGGACAGTGGAGAGGTTGGACTCGGTGATGTAGTTCTGCGTCAGGCGCTTGGCGTTGCTGCATCGCCAGATGGGGAGAGTGATTTCTCGTTCCTCCCAATCGGGGATGTCACACAGCCAAAGGGTCGCGTAGACATCCGTCCTGTGGCGTTTGCCGGGGGGGTGGAAGGCGAACACAATGGGGGAACGGTAGCGGGCGCGGATGGGTAGGCGGATTATGCTGGGGGGGTTGAGGGACCAGGATAGGCCTGAGATGGGGGGGTCTCCCTCCCGGCGGGAGCAGGACGAGGAGGGAATGGTTGCCGAGCTGCCGCCAGTGCGAAGCTTCAGTTTCGTCCGCTCGCTGGGGGCGTAGTCGGTCGTGGTGATGCTGTCGCAGAGGAACTCCCATGTGCCGACCTCGCCGAAGCCGATTTGGCTTGGGGGTAGGCGGATCGCGATGGAGCGGAAGAGAAGGCTAATCCGCACCCTCCCGAAGCCGATGCCCCCGTCGAGAGGGTACCACCGTGTGCTCTGGCTGCTGGTACGGAGTACATCGCCCAGGCGCATGGACACGACGCCAATGATGGGATCGTGCTGCCTGTTACGCGCATCGCGCACCGTCACGGTCACGATACAGCACCGCCAGTCCCTCACAAACCGCTCCGTGCCGGCCTCGAAAATGGGTCGCGACGAAACAGCCTTCACGCGCGTCTTGTACACCAGCTCGTCGTTGATCAGGATCGTGCAGTACGCATTTGGGAGTCGACCGCTCTGCTCTTCCTTCGCCTCGCCTGCTTCGGGACGGGCGGGGTCGTAGTCTTCCTCGTGCCTGCGCCGCCAGCTCCAGTGCGAGCCCTTCACGTTCTCGAATTCCAGCCCCACGATGCGGTGCACGACCACGCTGAGCACGCCGCTCCGCCAGAGGGGATCGGGCGGGGTGTGCACCACGGCGTCCTCTTCTTCGTCGTCAATGCTGCCGTGCTCGTCTTGCAGCTCGGGCTTGGAGCGCAGTTCTTCAGGGAGCGTCGGGTCGAGGCCGTTGGTGCGCATGGCGCGACGGAAGGGCGCTTTCGTGAAGTAGCCCACCTCCCAGTGCAGTAAGCCAGGCATGGTGCTGCCTGCTTTGATGCCGCGGAGCTTGGAAACGTGCTGGATCATCTTGCCGGGCTGCTGCATCAGCTCCTGGATGCTGACTTCCACCTTGCCGACGAGATCGTCGGCGGAGGACCGGTCGCTGTCCCAGAGCTCCATGGAGAGCTGTTCGTCGGCCTTGATCACCTCGGCGGTGACAGTCAACCCGCAGCTCTCTTCAAAGATGGGGTTCAGGTCGTCTTCGATGACTCTAGTGCAATAGAGCGGCTTGCTAAACTTTGAAAAGCTCACCACCACGTACGGATCCGATCCGCCCCCCTTGCTCCCCCTCCGGTCCTGCTTACTCAACCCCGTCGCCTTGCGAATCCTTACATACAACACGCCCAACGCATTCGTATCCTTCTTGATATCATCCCCCTGCAACAACTTCCCCACATCAATCGTCATCGACCTCGGCGCAACATACATGTCCGCTGCGGTAGCAATCGCCCAGTTCACAAACTCTGCCACGAGGGGCAGCTCCAGGATATTCGTGCCCTGCCTCACCAACGGCACACAGCTCGCTTCGACCTTCGGCTGTCCCATCAGCGTGAAACTAACCGTCCTCACGAACGGCGGGCAGGGGGCGAGGGCAACCCGCAAGCGGAGCGTGGCCACCAGCCGCCGCAGCTCAACCCATATTGGTACTGGCACGCCAAAGAGGCCTTTGACGCCGAGGTAGAAGACGATTTGCATGCCGACGTTCTCGCGCACTTTGCCCTCCCATCCGCCTGACGTGCTAGTCGTCTCCCTTGCGTGATACGCAACCGTCATCTCGAGGTTATAAAACCCTCCCCCTTCTTCTTCCGCTTTCACCTCCTCCGGATCCCGCACTTCTTTTTGTCTTGTCTTCTTCAACTCCCCCACCTCGCCGTTCGCCAAGGCCCGGATGCTTACGACGCGGATGGGCTCCTTTCCCTGCGAAAGATCCTTCACCTTGACGTGCTCCACCACCCGCGGCACGCTGGCTTGCATCACGTCCTCGAGGGTGTCCCCCACGCCGGAAAAGACTCTCTCCGCGTCGAGCGTCGTCCAGACGGTTTTTAGGAGCGCATTGAGCCATTCTGCGGACTCGGGTACGTGGGACAGGAGTGCCGTGCGCCCGCGGCGCGCTTCGGCGTGCCATTCGCCTTGGAGGCCACGTTTTATCACGTTCTTCGTAAAAAAGTAGATTAAAGAGGTTATGAGGACGGCGAGGAGGAGGTGTGCAAAGGGACGGGAAGAGGTAATGGATAAAATCGTTAGGGAGAGGAACGTGATGAGACAGAGAGCAGTAGAACGACGGGTGAGGCTTTCGAATTCCCGCGTGGAGAAGGTGATTGTGGGCGTCGGGTGGAAGAGGACGTTTGTTGGGGGCGTGTGGTGGAGGGGGATCTCTGTCGTGGTGGTCGAAGGGAAGGAGGTCTTTGAAGGGGGTTGGGGTTGCGAGGGAGAGATAATTTGGTAGAGGAATTGGGTTTCGTCGTCGTCGTCGTCGTCGTCGTCATCGACAAGGGATGGAGACGAAGAAGGGTTCAAGGCGTGGAGGGGGACGGTTATCTAGTTGTGTCAGTTCTTCGTTTCGCGAGGTAAGTAGGGCATGGATTGTGTGGGCGGAGCTGGCCTCTGAGCGAGGTAACGTAATGTCTGAGAGACGGGGACAAACCTTGGGTTCATCAGCCTGCCTCATCTCCCTCCCCGTTACGTCTGCGATTTCAACATCCTGCCTGGTGACCGGATCTCGTACAATACGTCGATTCTTGCCAGGCTTGTTGGGGTCAGATGGGGGTCGAACGGGGGGAATGGGGGTTACATCTTCTTTCGACCCGGATTCCCCATGTTGATTTGCTTTGCTCTTTCCCCCAACAAGCTTCTGTTTTATCTGCGAGGCAGAAGAAGGGGCGCGATGGATCCAATCGTATCCATCCTCTCTTCCTTGCCCTTGGGTATGGGTTTGAACCCCTATAGTATGTTCTTTCTGTTCCTCCTCTCCCCCTCCTATCACCTCTTTCTCCTTTTCCTTCTCCTTCCCCTCCTTCCCCTTCCCCTTCCCTTTCCCTTTATCTTCCTTCACAAATACCTCTCCCTCTGTTTCAGGTAACCATTCCCTCTGCTCCTGGTGTTCTGGATGTTTTTGATGGTGTTGCTGAGCCTGAGCCTGACCCTGAGCTTGGGCTTTCTCCCCCTCGACCTGCTCTTCCTCCAACTGCGCATCCCTCGCCGGCTTGAGCCTATCCAGCCGGTCCAAGAACTCGCGGATGGTCGGGACGCGGTTCGTGCCGGAGTAGTGCGTTTTACCCGAGGGGTAGATGCGTTCGTCTGTCGTCATCTTGGATTAATAGTCACAGACACCGGGGCAGGGGGGGGGGTTGGAAAGGTTATTGATGGAGGAGGAATCAGAGGTGCGTGAAACGGTTGGTTGCCAAGGTAAGCCAGATAGGATGGTAACAGTTATCAGTACAGGTCCGTAGAGGACTGCATGATGTTGATAGGAGGCTTGTTGATATCATATGTCGCCAGCCTTGATCGGACGGAGCTCTGTGCAGAAATAGCACCGTCCGCCTACCTGCTGTTGGAGCTCACCAGGCAAAGCAAGTTATAACCATCATCTCTCTCTTGAACCTTGAGCTTACGGAACAGCAGATATGACCGAATTAAGCTTGTGTTTTCGGTTTCTCCAAATCTTATGATAACCCTTCGCGGACGGCAGGATAGGTCATGTCGACAGTGGCCCCATCTTTATCACATATCCAAAACCCTTTACCCCGTAACCCAAGAATCCATATCTCTTTTACCCATCAGGGTCCAAAGGCGAAAGCAGGGTTGACTCCATGACGTCAATATGGATACACTTCTTGCTTCAGACACAGATGACCCGGGCTGCCGGCGAGTGACGTCGGTGCGGGTCTTGGAAAAAAAAAGACTGCCCTTACCTGGAGTGTATGTCAACAATTTGAAAGCTACTCAGGGGTAAGTGGATTAGTCGTTGGTGTTCTTCCCTTTTTTTTTTTCCCGTTTAGTAGTGCGGACTATAGAGACTACGTAGAGAGCTCAACAGGAGCACCTCATCCAATGCGACTCAAGAAAAGTTTTATTCCTAAACAAAAGATGACTCCATGATGAATCCATTCCTTTGCATACCTATACTCGCTACACATGCCCGCGTGGCTGATACGTCTTAGGTTTGTCTCATATCCAAAATGCCCATGTAGATAACGAATGTAAACAAAAAATATCTTTTAAAAGAAACAAAATAGGTATCATACCATGCATACGCCATGTTACTTCCACATCATTTTTTGTTTACAAAAAAAAAAAAACAATTTCCAACCCATTCCTAATCATACCCATCAATCATGATCAATTCCCAATCAATCATTCATTCATAACCCAAGATTTTCAACCCATCCATCATCATACCCAAAACCCCATGATTCCAAACCCAATCCCATACTCTTCCTTCACCCCATAACCTCCCTCCAAGGCGCCCATCCCCTCCCAGTCGGCCTCGCCGTCATAGTCGGCGTCCCCTCACAATAATAATCCATCTCAATCACGTCCCTCATCCCGTCCCATCTCCCTCTCTTCCTGCTACTCCCAACCCCAACCCCAACCCCAACTCCTTCCTCCCCTCTCTGCGCCGTCTCACACTCGTCTTCTTCTGAGTGCAAGCTACTCACATCCGACATGTCGACATCACCTTCCCCAGGTTGTGTGAGAGAGGCACGACGTTTTTTTAAAGAGTCGTGGTCGAAGACCTCGCTGCCGGCGGAGCTGGCGTTCGAACTGCTGACGATACTAACCGTACTTTCTACACTAGGGGTTGGAGGCTCCAAAATCATGGGAGTGGGAGTGACGGCCGTGGGTTCAGGCGTCTGATATCTTTGATCTGGTTGGGGATTGTATTGGGGGTGCAGACGGAGTGCATCATACAGCCCTGGTGATGCCGGCTCTGGGCTGGGACTCCGGCTTGGCCGGGCCTCAGGGAGGAGAGAGGCTGGTATGGAGGTTGGTTCGCGGGCGTGGGGTCTTTCGTCACGACTTTCTTCTTCCTGTTTGGGTTTCACCACCTGTGTCTGCCCTTGTGGTTGTTGCTGTTGTAATTGTTGTAGTTGTAGTTGTAGTTGCTGCTGCTGCTGCTGCTGCTGCTGCTGCTGTTGTTGTTGTTGTTGTTGTTGTTGTTGTTGTTGTTGTTGTTGCTGTTGCTGTTGCTGCTGACCTTGACCTTGACCCTGTCCCTGCCCCCTCGTCGGCGGTGTCGGCACAGCCAATACCGGCACCTGTACCTGCACCTGCACCTGCACCTGCACCTGTGCCATCGCAGCGGCCGCCTTAGCCTGCTGTGCCTGGCTCCTCATCTTCCTTGGTGTCGGGATGGCCAGCACCGGCACTGACACCGTCCCGGCCGGGGCAAACGACCTCATCCCCGTGCTCACCTGCTGTTGGTTCTGGGCAGGGGTATGGATAGCGGTCACCGGCGTGGTCGTCTCATCATCTTCGTCATCCTGCCCGATCGTCCACACCCAGCGACGTTTCTTTTCCCTACGCTTGTGATGCGCCTTGTTCTTGCGAATCCCCCCGCTGCTCGTGGGCGAGAGGACAGGCGACGTGGCTGTCGCTGAGGAAGAGGTGCCCATGCTGGCCAAACGACGACGCACGTCCTCGAACGGACTGGGCGTGGTGGCGCCCCCGTCGCGGGTATCCGCGTCGGTCATGACCTGGTCGAGCATAGCGTCTCCGTCGTCGGACTCTGACGATAATACCGAAGGGGAAGATGAGTCGGGGGTTGCCTCCATCAACAGCTCGATGTGCGACTTGGTGTACTTTGTCGTCGTAATTTCCTGCGTGAGAGGGCTGTTGTAGGCCACTCTGCGAGCTGCACGCTCCTGCAGCCGAGCCGACCGCCGCCTAGGCGACTCGGGCGATCTGGGATGCGGGAGAGGCGAGTTGCGCAGGATGCTCTTGAGCCGTGGAGGCTGCTTGTAGGGAAGCTTCGGCATGGCAGCTTGCTTTGGGGTGTCCTGGCTTGTTGCAGCCGCCGTCTTGCCGTCAAAAGTAAACACCTGAGCGCCGTGCTGGTCGGACGGCTGGGCTGATAGTGGAGGTGTGGCAGTCATGATGGCACTGGGGAAGCAAATCTCACTCGGTAGAGCTGGAGAGATAGGTTGTGCCGTCACCGGAGTGTCCAAATAAGGACCCGTGTAGGTTACGCTGTGAGCGGCAGCGGACTTGTCGGTGCTGACGGATGTTGTCTGCAGACGCAGTACCGGACGGCGTCCCAGGATGGCGGTCGGGGGTTTCTCTTGCACAGGAGTTGACCTGTCGACGGCGGTGGCGTAGACATTAGAGAGAGTGTTAAAACCAGTCGGCGACGTGACGTCGCAGTGGGCAGCGAGGGCCTTCGTTGCACGCATAGGTGCTTGCGAGATGGCCTTGATCTGGAGCGACAGCCGAGGCCGCTTGGGAGGGCTGGAGGTGGACGACATGGTGGTGGTGATTAAGCTGTGGGAGTACTGGATTGATGATGGGGTGACTCTGGCTCTAGTGAGGGGTTGACGGATCTGCGGGTGTAGTGTAAAAATAGAAAACCCCAAGTAGGATGAGCAGAAAACAGCAAAACTGGAAAGAGACAGATATCTCCAAGCCAGCAGGAGATTGGGAGGGGAAAAAAAACACGATGAAAAAGAAAAAAAAAGATAAAAAGGACAAAAAGCAGGCGACAACAACCCTCAGGTGCCCACACCTGCACACGCTCTTTGGCGCTCGCGATTAAGACTCTCAACACAAAGGGCAGATGGATGAGCAGAGCAGAGGATGGGAAGGGGGGGGGGGAGGGGTTTCGAGGAGGGAGGGGAGGGTTAGGTCAGCTATAAACAGAACTGGATAGGAGTACCTGCACAGCAGTACCGCGGGAGAGTGGTGGTGAGTGTGAGTGGTGAGCCCGAGCCGACGTCGCACTGTGGCGGCCTGCTCGTCGGCGGCTAGCACTGCAGTCAGACTGGCTGGGCACCTGCTCACACCTGCCATCCCCGCGTTCACTTGTTCATTTGCAGCCTCCAGTCGCTTCCCATTGTCCAGTCGCTGCCTGGTATTGTCTCTATCGCTGACTCGTGCTTGGTTGCTTGGTTGCTTGCTTCTTGCATCTCGAGCTTGTTTGGCCAACAGTTTCTGTTTTGAAGGAGATCCAAGAGGCCGGGACCGAGATTCTATCGGACTCTGACTGGCCCCCCGCATTCAATCCATCACCTCATATCTAGACGCTACGATAATACGCTCCCATCGGGATCAACAAACAAAAACGGGAACGGGACGCTGGCAAACACGTAACAGAGCAGTCTTTTTTTTTTTTTCAACCGAATTGTCACACAATCTCTGTGCAACTATGCCCTATGCCCCCTCCCCTCTCCTCCGAACACGATTGTTCTGCCCCGACTTGCCCGACTTGCCTCTCCTAGGTCCCAAGTATCCGGTGAGGGCAGGTCCAGTAGAGTCGTAATACAAACCCCCCTCCCCCCCCCCCAAAAAAAAAGGGTTGACTGAGAATTGCCATTGCCATCGCCCCGTTCCATCCGGTAACCTTCTTCCATTCACCCACATGGCCACCTGCCATCAGTCTGCAAGCGAAAAATCCTGCTCTGTGCCTTTTTTGGGTCGACCGTAGCCACCATCAGCCCGGAAGGAAGCGGAGCCTGTGAGAAGAGCAAACGTCTTGCGTTTCTGCATTCTGCGCTCGGAGGAAGGCGACAAGGCCAGTGACAAGCAGCCAGCCGCAGACTGCTGACTGTAGACCCACAACATCGCCTGCAGCGCGCATGCAGCAGCGTAAGCGCCTTGCTGTCCAATCATAGCACGGAAGACCCACTTCCCGAACGGAGTCACATCGCGGCTAATCTGCCGCTAGGCGATACTGGTATTGGCGCACCTGACCAGATCCGGAATGGGAGTGGAGATGGTGCTTGGTGCTCGCTTGCTCGTCAAGGCCAGCGAAGCCAGCAATGAAAGGGGGATGTTGATGGGTTGGGAGAGAAGAACCGCTGCGCTCTCACCTTTCGGCACTTGTCCCTTGCGTGGAGCAGCCTGCTTGGGGGTTATCCGACTTGAGTTTCTCCTTGTATTATGGTAAGTTGGTTGTTAGTTTGCAGGTGAGGAGCTTCACCGCCGGAGGGTACGTATATGATCATGTAGGATAGCCGCGGCGTGGGAAAGCGAGCGGAAGGATTGCTGCTGGGATCGAATGCTGACTGGCGCAGTCGACATGTGCCATTGCCACGGATTTTTTTTTTTTTTCAAGCGCTGAAGACTGAAGCTGATTCGGAGCTCAAGGCCTGAGCCCGAGGAGATATTCGAGATAGGATTCGTGATATTGTCTGATATCACGCATAGTCATAAGCTTTACAAGATATGAGAGCTCAAGCTCTTGGGCCATTGACTTTATCCTACTCCTCACCCTCACCCCCTTACTGGTATTTTCTCAATTGGAGAGGGGTTTGGAGTTATCCCCCTTCTCTGTTCTTACATGACCCAACAGCATTGTAATGAAAATTAAAAAAGAAAAAAAAAAAAGAGGGAAAGAAAAAGAGAGAGAGAGAGCTTGCTGAGTTGAGGGGCGAACTTGATCTTGCATTACGCAGCTAGATCAAGTCCAGCATGATCAACTCGTGCATCTCTCTCACCTGAGCCATACCTAGTGCATGTGGCTGAACAGGCCCGAATCTCCCGGGCTTACGTACGGACTGTGGCGATGGATTAGCACAAAATCCTTTGCAGCAAAAGCCTGCTGCCCGAAACCTCGAGCAGAACGAGTAGGACGTACGATTTGATGACAACCTTGAATAGATGTTACGATCAACAAGGATGTCACGCGGGAAAAGCGGAGCCGGACACAAAGGACTAATCAAAACCCGGCTCATGCGGCCCCCGAAAGGTCGTCTGGCCAAGAGATACCGACGAGGGATTAAAAGATCCTTAAGAAATAAAGAAAGGCTTGGGTATATAAGGTAAATAGATTTTTCGTAGGTAGAGGAGGACGAAGGGTACCTCAGTCGGCAATACAAACAGTTGTGCAAAAACAACTGGTGACCGCAGTAATCCCGAAACCCGCTTGAGAACTTTTGTCTCTCAGATCCTTCAAGCCTTGAACCGCCGAACCCATCGCAAAAAAGACTAGTTGGGCCGTCAGAATAGATCTAGTCAAGTCGTTGAAAGTAAATCCCAGAAATGCCACCATATATCGAACCGCTTAAACACTAAAAGCCCCCGGGGGAATCCTTTTTGGAGGGCACTGACATGCTCTTCAGACTTGTATGAAAAAGACTTTGGATATCAGCGTTATATATGCTTGACTCTTGCCTCAAGATATGCACCATCCAGTCGGGCTTGAACTTTCATGACACATTCTTAACAGTTGAGCCTGTTAAAGCTTGCTTACTACAAGCCCTCGTAACGAAGCTAACCCTAGCCTATGACTTTCCCGTGTTTTCCCGTCATTACAATACCTTGTTGTGTCGACAAATATATCTTGGGCCTTTTTACTAGACTGTTCGAGTTGTAGGCATGTCTTAGGGGCCCCAAGGTTTTGAAACTCAAGCATAAAACCTGGGTAACACCCGAAGGAGATCAGGCAACATGATTTGTCTCGAGCAGGAAGACGAGAATCAATGAGCAAGTTTTCCCTTAGCATGTGATTCGGTCGTTGAGCTCTTAGACACAATGTTCTACAAGAGAGGCATTATTGACGGGAGTCGTGTTCTGACAAGCAAGTCGAGGTTGAGGTGTAACCAAACTGTATCAGTACGTAAAACTCGATTGTGGAAGCATACTCCGCGATGATCACCTTTCATTTGGAAAAGAATCCATGTCTCTACACCTACCGTAACGTTGTAGAACACAACATGATCTTACTTTCCTCACCTTTTGGGCAAGCTCTAAGCAGGTACGCAGCCTTGTATGTTCCTTAGCCTCGGGGCTAAACAGCAGCAGATTGCTGAGGTTTTAAGCAACAAGTGCAATTTTTTTTTCCCAGTTTTGTTAGGGAGCGTTAAAGTCCGAGAAAACTACCTACCTACTTACCTAGACATACATAATAATATTATCTCCTTGCCCATGTTTCGACTCCATCATAGCACTTCTATAACACTCTGTCTTTGATGTGAGTCGAAATTTTCCAAGACAGTGTTTTTTTTTCTTCCATGAAGGGCTCGCTTCCAGCTTCTAAAATCGTTGTTTACTTTCCCAGGGAATCTTCCATTCAGCCCTACGGGTACACGTTGCTCTGCGCTAGACTATCGAACGACACCTCACTCAGCCGCAACGCATTAAGCCGGACGATTTGCCCATTTGGGGCTGTGCAGCTCTCCCCCGGATTTCGTGTTAAACCGCTACTTTGTGGAAGCGCCGATTGGATGGATGGTCAAAGATCGCATCAAAAGCCTAAGTCCGGAGTCAGCGAAACGTGGCTGCTCCATCTGTTGTGACTAAACGCATCAAGAAGAGTAAATCCATCGAATTAACCTAGCCTGAAAATTCTACCCAAAAGGTAAATACGGGAATCTTGGGGCCCTTTTTAGTGGAATATTCGTGGCTTGCAGAAAATGTCGGGTTTCAGAAAAGTAAAAGCTAGGAACCGCCATTGGGAGCTGAGCTGTAGTGATTTCTCAATTTTCCTGATCGGTGATGTCAAGCCAGCCATGCCTGCAGCCTGTCAGCTTGTCCGGCCAGAACTAGCTGAAGTGGTGCTACGTGTGGTGCTACGTGGACAGCTGAATGACCCTAGCCTCAACCTTGCTGGAGGTTAAAGATGTGTCCTCGCCCAGGCGAGAGAGAGAGAAAGAGAGAGAGAGAGAGAGAGAGAGAGAGAGAGAGAGAGCTCTTGCGCTCAAAGTCTCCTCTACCAAGTTCTTCTCTATCACGCGATCCACGAAATTCCCCTAAGCAGAGCTTTCCGGCGTCGCCTAGGCTTCTCTTCTCTCTCCATTCCGTACAACTTACGCCGCCATCACCATGAAGTCCCTCCTGTTCCTCAGCGCCCTCCCCCCCTAACAATTGCCTTCACGCCTCCTCCTACGCGCTGGTCTCTGTCGACATCGCCAACCCCAACACTATCACCCTCGACACGGCTCCGCCCTATGGCGACATCGGCTTCCTCCCTCAGAGCGTGAACTGTTCCCTGCGCTGGGTGTATGCTATCGGCCAGCCAGAGACGACATACACTTTCGAAAGTCTCTCCGCCAGGGACGATAGTGACAGCGATAGTGACGACGACGGAGACTGGTGTGATGATGACCCCGATCCGGAGCCGGAACCTACCACCACGAGGGGGAGGTGGTGGCGGACGAGCACAAGCACGGTTTCAGCTGTGCCTACTACCAGGATCACAGTTACGACGACGAGCACGGCTGCGCCTACATCCACATCGACACCTCAACCTCCCCCCAGCCAAGGAAACCCTACTCGCCTCGGGCCCCCCAATGGCGGACCCCTCGCCTGTGAAGACATCTCCCCGTTCGGGTCAGCCGGCATCTGGAGCGTGACGTGGCTCCCCGACCCCTCAACCCCCGAAACCTCCAGTCTAAGACGGTTCGGGCTCAAGATCGCGTTGACCGAAGCAGTGGTCCTGCGCAACGGCGCAATCGAGGAGCTGAAGTGGGAGGCGGAGGAGTGGTTTTCGACAGATACCAACTTGTTGAGCCAGTGCTCGAGTAGTGGAGTATGTAGATGGGCGTTGCGGGATAATGTCGTGCCGCTGGCGGTGCGGCAGGCGCTTGTCGGGAGGAGATGTGTGGTGGGGAATTGTGAGGGTGCTTACTTGTGATGGATTCATGTATATATACCGATAGGAAGCAGGGCTGTGGTTCTGTTTATGAAGATCTAAGGTAATTATGATGAGCTTCGACAAAAATTAAGTAATGTTCTGTTGATAGATAGGTTAGGGAGAACTATATCTATCTATGATGGGCCATCAGGAGAGCTGAGGACGGTGTGGTTCGAGAGTGGGAGGGAGTATCGGTACTACAAGTACGTTTTGGTCGGTCAGCAACCCGCTTGTCATGACGCGTTGACTTTGATAAGTACCTATCTATTGGAATTTTTTTATTCTATTTCATAGGATCTCATACTGAATGAGTAATCATCAGAAAAAGCAGCGATATGTTCCTAGATTCATCGGGTAAAAAATGTAGGTAGTTTGTCTTTGTTTACTTAGCTGGTTACCCCTGACGGTTGCTGGGCTGAACCAACTGTCTCACTTGGGTCCACACTGTGAGTGACAGGGGATGAAAAAAAAATCTCCAGAAATCGATCTTTGTTCTTTTGGCCGACTTCATCTACATATATTGCTAGCTCTCTCTGTTCGTCTTCTCCAGGGTTTTGAAGCCACAGCAGCGAACTGGGAAGGAAGAAAAAGATACATCAGCTTACTCCGTGCAATACAGTGCCTTATACGCACTTTACACTGTGTTTACAAATTAAACGTCGGATCTCGTCCTTAACTATGTAGACTGTCAAACTCTCTCTCATTCGTCACCATAGCATCCATCGACGTCCATCGTCAATAAATTTAGAAACCGAAGTGATCATGAGAGCAGATAAAACATGGCAGCGTTCTTTGGACCTACGACAGACAACAGCAAGAAGCCGCCGCGCTTCCGCGACGACCGCATCATCCTTCACTTTGTACGGACTCGCCTTGCCCCGAATGAGTGAAGCAATCCAGCTCATCATCAAACCAAATCATTCTAACCTCTAACCTCTCCCTCACAGGACCTCGACTGTTTCTACGCTCAGGTACGTCATATGCCCAATATCGCCTCAACTCAAAAAAAAAAAAGAAAACAATTCCCATAACCAACTCGCTCTCCTCAGGTCGTCGAGAACCGGAACCCGCACCTCAAGCACCAGCCCCTCGGCATTCGCCAAAAAGGCCTGCTCGCCACCTGCAATTACGTCGCGCGCGCCCGCGGCGTGTCCAAGCTCATGTCCCTCCCCGAAGCGCGGCGCGCATGTCCTGAGCTAATTCTCGTCGACGGCGAGGACCTTACCCCGTTCCGGCAGGCGTCCAAACGTGTATATACCTTATTGAGGGCGCATTCTTGGAACGATAGAGTTGAAAGACTTGGGCTGGACGAGGTGTTTATGGATGTGACAGACGTTGTGGGGTGGAATGTGGGGGTGCTGAATCGGTTTGATTTGAGACGGTCGTGGTTTTGTTTGGAGAGGGGAGAGCCGGAACGAGGGTTTAGTTTCGATGCGCGGGAGTTTGCGGGGTGCGTGCATTACCATGGAGAGGGGGAACCCCCTGGGGATGAGGTTGACGAGGAGGGGGTGGTGAAGAAGGTAGATACCCTCCGCATGCGGTTGCTTGTGGCGTCGCATCTGGCGCGGTATCTCAGGGAGAAGATCGAGAAAGAGGAAGGGTACACTTCCTCCTGTGGGATCTCCACCAATAAGGTCCTCGCGAAGTTGGTCGGGGGCAAGAATAAGCCTCGTAACCAAACAACCCTCCTCGCGCTCCGCCAGGATCATGTCCTCTCGTTCATGGACCCCCTTCCCCTTCACAAGGTCCCCGGTATCGGAGGGCGTATCGTTTCTGTCCTGGAAAACGCCGTCCGCTCGCATCCCCCGAACCCCGGATCAGCCTCCTTCCGCGAGTCCGGGCCTGGTCCCATCACGGTCTCGCAAGTCCGCACGCACCCCTCCATAACACCGTCCTCCCTCGAACGCCTGCTTCAAGGCACATCAACCTCGACGTTCGAGCGTGGCCTAGGGCCCAAGCTCTGGGCTCTCCTTCACGGCGCAGACACGAGCGAGGTAAAGCCCGCACGGGACGTGCCCGTGCAAATCGGGGTCGAGGATACGTATCATGCTCGGGGAGGGCTGCAAACACAGGAACAAGCACGTCGAGCGATCGTGGAGCTGACGGTGTCGCTTTTAAGGAGAATAAGGGGCGATTTATGCGTTGAGGAGCCTTCGTCTGGAAGGGTTCTGAGCGTGGGGGGTGGTTCGGGGTCAGGCTCGGACTCGAGCTCGGGGAAAAAAGCCAAAGTCAGATGGCTCGCTCGACCGAGAACAATCCGCCTCTCCTCTCGCGCGAACGACAGCTCCGCGCCGTATACGCAACGCGTGTCACGGAGCGCGCCGCTGCCTTCTTTTGTGTTTAGCACGGATATCCCAGTCCAGCAGATGGCGGAGAGGTTGGTGAATGAGACGCTCTGGCCGCTGTTGATGAAGATTTTGCCACAGATTGCTCCATCGGAGAAATCGAGGCTGCCGCCGCATGAGACGGGGGGATGGAACATCGGGCTGATCAATATCGCTGTGACGAATATGAATGGGGACGGAACCACTTCAGGCAGAAACCAAACCATCCAAAACAGTTTCTCCAGCTGGCGAATGGGCCGATCTACAGGCGGCGTGGCCAGCAGCGCCAAAGAAGGGCAGGAGAAGAGGGAAGCAGATACCGCCAGCGACGAGACCTGTCTACAAGCCCAAAAGAACGAGGACGAGATAAGGGGACAAGAAGGTTCAAAACCAGAATCTACACCAAATCTAGGCTTAGTTTCTGAAGCAAGGCTTGAACCACACTCACCACTCCAACGACCCAGCCCCAACCCAGAAAAACCAGCGATACCGCAAATCCTGGGCAAACGTCCCGCCTCCTCCTCCTCCTCCTCCTCCTCCTCCTCCTCCTCCTCCTCCTCCTCCTCCTCCTCCCCCCTCTTCCAAGAACGGCTGGACTCGTCAAACCCAAAGCCAAACGACATTACCGCCAAGCACGACGAGAATAATCCCCCCACTACCATGTTTACCGCTCCTTCAGCCCACACTCTCCCCAGCGAAGACACCCACGAAGTTTACCAATCCTGGGATATAAACGAAGACAACCCCGCCGATACCCTAGATTATCTTACCGAAAACCATGACGACGACCGCGACGAAGACTCCTACCTCTGCCCCCTCTGCAACCAACACATCCCTTTCTTCGCCGCCACCGCACACAACCGGTTCCATGAAACGGCTGATGAGGACTGATTCTGTCAAGCACAATGACCTATAGAGAGGATAGATAGAGAGATAGATACCCATCATGCTCGCAATGTTAAAGCCAGGATACAATAAAGTTTTTTTTTGGTATACATTGCCCTCCTAATGTGAATTAGGTAACACAAAAAATGTCAAAGTAAAGAATCATCAATAGCTAGTTACCTATGCTGACCGCTGTGTGACGTTGTCTTCGCTACGACTAGGTAGGTAGGTAGGTAGGTAGGTAGATATGTCATAAGGAGTACATACATGATCACAATACAAGGCACAAGAAGCATCAAAACAAAAAAAAAATAAGTTAGGAATAAAAGTTAAATATACAGAGGGCACCCTATAGTGTGTGTGGTCGGTATCCTAATAAGCCATAGTAATACTGCTACATCTGCATGTGTGTATGTGGGGGTACAAGTGCACCCAGTGTATTGTGTGTGGTATCAAACAATCCGCCCAGAAGTCCATCATCCATCCATCCGTCAGTGAAGTCAATCATTCATCCCAGTCCAGTCAATAAAAGGTTGTGTCCCACGCTCGTAAAAAAGCAATCAATCAACAACCCAGCCCAAACTTTTCCCCATTCATCCGTCCAAACAGTCCAACCCATCCCAGTATTAGTACCAGTAATATAATAGTAGTGTAGTGGTATGAACATTTCACCCGCCCAAACTCCATCCGTCCAGTACCAAAAAAAAAAAAAAAAGAAGGGGGGGTTGGGGTTGGGCAAAGTAAAAGACCATCCCTTTTGTTGTTGTCGTTGTCGTACTTTGTACATCGTTAATCCCACACCAAGCAAAAACAAAAACAACCCGCCCTAGGTATAGATAAACCAACCAACTAAACAAGCAAATTATCTCGCCTCAACGGGGTTCCCATTCCCCTGCGGCTGAGGTAACGGCAACCGCTCCCCATCACTTCCAAACCCCGGGGTGCCAGGAAACGCCTTAACGACTGGCACCTCCCACCCATTTTGCTCGAGGACCCCCTTCAAATACGCGTTCCCGTCCAGCAAATGATGTAGGTAGTCCGCAGTCATGGTGAGCATAGCCGCCTTGGAGTAACCCCCTCCGCGCAGGGCGGGCACGATGGCTTGAAGCGATTCGAAGCCTTCGCGAATAACGTTACGGCGCTTCTGCTCGGAGCGGATGTGATTCTCGCGCTTTTGCTCCTCGGTTAGGTTCTCTCGGGGGGGCTTATGCGTCGTGGTCTTGTTGTTGTTATTGTTATTGTGGCTGGGAGTATTGTTAGTGCTGTTGTTGGTAGTTGATGAGGTACCGTTGGTAGGCGCAGCAGACTTTCTACGACGTTTGGTTCCGGTAGAAGGGATGGTTGTAGGAGCCGGAGTAGTGTTGTTCTGAGGCGAGGACGCGTTCGAGCTGGTGGCGTTACTCGCGGGCTGGTGCGGGATCGCAAAGCTGGCGGCGGCAGCCGATGTTTGGATGGCACCATTGGTCTCGGGGCTACCCTGATCTGATGGTGGCTTATGGATGCCATTGGTGCCGGGCATCTGCATGGGCTGAACCCCATTGATCAGGCTGCTGCTTCCGTTGATGCCCGACACATTGCCATTGAGACCCATTTGCATGCCGAGGCTGCGATGATCGATGAGCATGACATCACCGGTACGAGTACTCCTCCGTCGCTTGAAGGGCCGAAGGAGATCAGCCGTGTCGTAGTCGTCCTGTCCCACGGCGGAAGCGTTGTTGTTGTTGTTGTTGTTGCTGCTGCTGCTGCTGCTGTTGTTGTTGGGGGGCAGGTATACACCAGTCGGAGAACGGTTCACCACCAGCTTGATGGGATTGCGCATCGGGGGAGACTGTGCGTCCCACGAGACCGGACTAGGCGCCCGAGTGGGGGCAGCACTCGGGTTGCGCTCAAGACACGAAAGAGTAGCCATTTGCTGCGCGGAAATGGCCTCGGCGGTCTCACGTTCGGAACGCGGTACAAAATTGGACTGATTGAAACTGGGGTCAGAACCGAAGCGTACCTCTGGTTGCATGGTGGTCATGTTGAAGGACACCTGGTTGGCCGAGGAACCAGCATAGGCTTTGTTGTTCAGGTTGCGGGAGCTCATGCCCATTAGGTTCGTCGGGGCCGGCGCGAGCTGCTGGGATGCCGTCGCAGAAATCGTGGGCTGGGTCGCATAGGTAGTCGTCGGGACTGCGAAGGACATGGTCATGCCACCGCCAAGCTGACCGGCGCTGGTGCGCGAGAGAGCCGTGGCAGCAGCAAGCACATCGGCAGAGGCTTGACCGACGAGGAGATCGTGGACTCGAGCTTGAGCTTGAGCTTGAGCTTGAGCTTGTGGCTGCTGGGAGGCAAACGTAGCCGCCGCATGAGCGGTGGCAGTAGGCTGGACAGGTAGCGTGAGCATACTGGCCGTGATCAATTGGTTATGGTTGTTATTATTATTATTATTATTATTATTATTATTGTTGTTGTTGTTGTTGTGGACGTCTGGAGTTGGTAGGGTCCGCATGCGGAGGGGGAGGCCGGGAGCTACCTGGTCGTTGATGGACTGAGGAGTCTGAGTGTTGAGCAGACTGTTGACATCGGGGCCAGCGCTGCTGCTGGCGGTATTGAAACTCTCCATCTTGTTCTTCACGGCCACAACGTCGTCCTCAGTGTCGTCGTCGCCACGACGCGGGGAAAGCAGGCCCGGGAAGGCATTATGCACAAACTCCTCCTGAGCCATCGTCATGGTGCCGTACGATACATTGTGGCCCACCAGCTGGGGGCAGAGCCATTCGGGTGTGAAGATGCCGTCGCCTAGCTCCTCGGTCAGAGTGGGCGGCAGGCTACCGTTGTTGGCGCTGTTGAAGAATTCGTCCAACGACTTGAGCTCGCTAGTGTTGAGGATACCGGTCCCCTCGGGGACGGGAAGGTTTTGGATATCGTCGTCGGTGATGTGGTACATGGGGAACGAAAGGCAGGTTGCATGCGAAAAGTGAAGGCAGTTGTAGTTGTAATTGTAGTTGTAGTTGTTTGGGAGAGGAAAAGGGTCCGAGTTGGACGAGGAATTGCTGGTTTTGTATGGGACGGGGGTGAAAGGGGCGGGGGGGGGGGAGAGAAGAGAACTGGCTGATTCGATTCCGTGATTCGAGCTGCGAGATCCGTGATTTTCAGCAATTCGAACGACTACAGCGAACACGTTCGACGAAAGTACTAAACAAGCAGCAGTTTAGAATACTTGATTCGCGTTCAGGCGCCCAAGCACAGGGTCGAAGGTGTTGCAGAACGGGTCGCGGGGACTGGGAGATGGGATGAATTCAGAATGCCTGATTTTTTTTTTTCCTGTCTTATTTTCGAGTCGACTGAAGAACTTCAGATGCGGCGACGAATGAGAAAACGGCGCGCAGGTCGAATTTCTGATTTTTAATTTTTGATTTCTGGGCTGTGCTTGCAGTTTCTCCTGCAGAGATGATATGGTCGGATGTAGATTGCAGATTGCAGTTGAAGCCACAAAAGTCGAAGCAAAATCGAGAGATATGACGGATGGAGATCTCGAAACTGAGGAGCAGTCGCAGTCGCAATCGCACTCTCTTCCATTCCACTTCCACTTCCACTAGTCGAAGCCTCGCGGAGCACATGGATCAGCACAGCAGCGGCAGCGAATGGCCTGCCAGGCATTTGTGGAGAAAACCCTTGTAACGATGCGAGCCACGAGGAGACGTGCTTGGCATGCGCATATCAAACATCTTGGCTCGGGACAAACGCGGTTTCGTTATAGGGAGACATCACATGTTCTGCCAACGACGCGAATTGGGTGAGGGTGGGCGATTGTGGGGCCCCAGACCCCGCAGAACGCCCGAGCTGCTCCCTGTTGCTGCTGTCTTTCTGTCTCCTGTCAAGCTGGAACGAAACGGATTTCGGATTTGTCGGATACCGTTGCTGGTATTTGTTTGTTTGTATGTAGTAAGTTGTAAACTGGCATTTTCAATTTCTTAACATTTTCATTGGTTCCTTTTTTGGTTTTCTTGCTTTCTCTCTCTCTCACTCACTCACTCACTCTCTCTCTCTCTTTCTTTTTTTTTTTTTTTTTTGGTTGACTTATGTCATGAGAGCTGTATTTTACGTACGTATGTATTTCCCTACCTACTCAACCTGTCACTCAGGCCACGAGGCGGAAGACGGAATGGCACCCAGAATGGTTCCATAGATACGACCTTGAGACCACACTCGACAGTAATGGGCTGCAAAACCATTGCGCACGCCCAAAATAATAGGAACAACCATACACCCTAACAGAGCTAACAGAGCCGTTTCACATCCACAACACCTGATTCTCTGATGGCAGGATTCCTGACACCCGACGGTGCGGGACGGCGGGGCGGGCGCTTTCCTCCCCAGAGCGCAGGCCGATTGCGCGTATCGGGGCACCAGCCCGATCTGGCCATGCAAGCGAAATCACGTTATGCGGGCATGACGGGCGATGGATGGAACGAGTACAGGTGTGTGTATATGGGTTTTTCGATGAAGAGTCGAGAGTCGGCTGTCGGCTGCAGTGGGCTCCACAACGGCGCCTACCCCACAAAAAGTTAGGCCCGGGCCCTGGGCCCCTAACGCGTGCAACCACTCGATCGCGCTGCGGCCAAGCAGGAGCAGCTGGAGCTAGAGCTTGGAAAGTACGCCGGGATGCACATGCTCGTGATTGTGATTATGCCTGTTGTGCCTGGCCGCGCTGGCCCCATCAGCTGCGATCTGTTTGGCCCATCTCAGTCGATGCTGGGGGTTGGGGTTAGCTGAGGGAGTTGTTTCTGCGTTTGTGCGTTAGCGCGCTGGCCTCGATCGATTCCAAACAAAACATCCCATCCAATCTGTTGTCCGTCGTCCTAAAAATCTCCGGTGCCGTCGCGCCGTATGATGCCCACTCCAGACCAGCAGCAGCAGGTAGCATCACCGACCGACCGATCAACGCCGTGATTAGAGTTGTACTCGAGCCTGAACAGCGTGGGAATGCCATCATTTGCCATTGTCACTGTTATTGCCGCGTCCGATGCCTGCGACAGTTACCCAACGAGAGTGACGTCTACACGATCAACATAACCAAGACTGCCCGTGAGTGACGTTGAAACGCCCGTTTAAGAACATCCGAGGCTGTCACGGGCCGACCCGGATGGGAATATCAATCCGGCTGCCGCCATCTCACTCGTAGACTCTTGTTTTTTTTTTTCCCTTCCCCTGCATTTAGCGCCATCTCTTTTTGTTTCGAGCCGCTGCAGCCCATCTTGTCGCTCCCGAGTCCCCGCGAATCTCTTTCCTCGTCTGGCATCGGAATTCCGTCGACATGCCCTCCCCCCTTCTGTCTTCCTCGGCTCTCAAGCCCAAACCCAAGCTGCGGCCCCGACCCCGTCGGTGGCAGTGGGATAGCGCCGTGCCGCCCATCCTGCGCCCGGCTGTCCGCGCCTTTCTCCTGGGCTATGCGTACAACGTAGCCCCCCGCGTGGCCAGCATCGTCATCCGCTTTGTGGTCCGCCAGCTCAGGGAGTCCGGCGTGGGGGGACTGGCCGGCCCGGGCCCAGGCCCGAAGCCGACCGCTGCCGCCACCGACTTTGTCCAACAGACCCGGAAGCTGCTGCGTTCCCTAGTCGCCGTGCTGCGCGGAGGTTTTGACCCCTACAGGCTGCCGACGTTCTGCGGTGCCCTCGTTGGTGTCGGCACCCTGATTCAGGTGCGTCCTGCTGTGCGACTAGGCGCCCCCCCCCCCTCCTTTTTTTTTTTCTCTTTCATTTTTCAAACACAAGGCTGACCGTACGACAGCACATCGTCAAGCCCGTTTTTGACCGGATCGTCCCTTGTGTCTCCGATCCGGTGCGACAGAGGTGTGTTCTCCTTGACTCAGTTTGACTTCTGGCCCGGGCTCGTACTGACTTTGGCTTTTCTGCAGGCTTGTCCGCTTCCTGGCCTACTTCACGTCCGGCTGGCTGGCTATGCGCCTGCTGCTCCATGCCGAGCCAGACGTCGAGAAGGCCATCTCTAACGGCAGCAACGGAACTCAGGCGCCCGGGTTCAGCACCAAGGAGCTACGGCCGCTAATCCTGGTCGACGGCATGGCCAGGGCTGGTGCCCTCTCGCCCCGGCTCAAGGAGGAGCCGACGGCGCCTCTAGGAGGCAAGACGATCGACCTGACCTGTCTGACCGTCACCCGCGGCCTGGACGTCCTTGTCGTGACCCTCTGGCGCTACTACAAGAAGAGCCGCCTAGCCACCGGCAAATGGACGCCGCTGGAGGCCCTGCTAGAGTACCTGGGCGACCCCCTCCTGTTCTCCGTCTCCAGCGCCCTCGTCATGTGGGCCTGGTTCTACCACCCCGACGCCCTTCCCCCCGAGTACAATAAATGGATCACGCGCGCCGCCAAGGTCGACGGGCGCTTGATCGAAGCCCTCCGCCGCTGCCGCTCCGGCGCCCTCGTCTACGGTCAGGAGACGGGCCAAGCCGACCTCCTGGGCTCCATGTGCGTGGACTACAACCTGCCCTACGTCTGGGGCGACCCGGCGCGCACCATCCCTTTCCCCTGCGAGCTCGTTCACATGGGCGTCGGTCCCTCTTGCGAGAAGCACGCCATCTCCCGCTTCCTGCGCGCCCTCCCCATGGCCGGCGCCACCTACGTCCCGTTGACTCTCCTCCTCCTCTTTCGCTCCCCCTCCAAACTGAAATCGTCTCGTGCCCTACTCCGCGCCCTCCGCTCCGCCGCCCGCTCTTCCTGCTTCCTCGCTTCCTTCATCGCCCTCTTCTACTACGGCGTGTGCCTAGCCCGCACGCGCATCGGTCCCCGCCTGCTCCTGCCCCTCCCGCCGGAGTACCTCTGTCTGCCCTCTCCGCCCACAGCCCAAACCCTCGCTTCCAAATCCTACATGCGCTCTCTGCTCGCTGCCCGCCAGCGCATCGATAGTGGGCTGTGCGTGGCCACGGGGTGTGTCATGTGCGGGCTGAGCATTTTGTGGGAGAAGAGTAGCAAGAGGAAGGATTTTGCGCTGTTTGTGGCGCCCAAGGCGCTGGCTACCCTTTTGCCGAGGAGGTTTGAGAAAGAGTGGGAGGTGTGGGAGGAGGGTGCTTTTGCGGCGAGCGTGGCCGCTGTATTGACGGCGGCGGAGGAGGAGGGAGGGGGTGTGGTGAGGGGCTGGATTGGCGGGTTGGTGGGTTGGTGTTTTGGGGGAATAGGTGAGTGATTGGGGCTGGACTACATTTGGGAAAGGGGAGGGGGGGGGGCGGCCGCGGTAGAGTAGGGTAGTGAAGAATAGGGGGGGGGGGGGAAGGGAAGTTGCAATGTTGATGGGCTTGAATGTTTCATTCTCACTCTCTCTCGCTCATGCACACTACTCTCTCTCTATATTTTTTTTCTTTTGTTTTTGAAAAGGATAGAGTGGTTTGTTCTGGTTTGGAGTTGGGTGAGCATTAACGACGGGGTCATGATCTACTGCTATCTTTCTTTCCTCTCATTTGAATTACTTACCACTACAAGTATTTACGGCCGTCATGATAATCATCTACATAGATTTTCTTGCTGCTACATGACTCTTCCAGTTAGAGAGGGCATGGTTTGGCACGGTAATGTATTAAGCATTAGATTTAAGGCATCAGCATTAGTTGCTTCGAAGTTAACATGTTCTGATGATGATCTGTATAACTACCTGACTGATAATAGAAAAATGGAGAGTAAAAGTTCACATGCTCGAATGGGGTCTACGTATTTAACCAATTGGTGATGTTTGATCCCATCCGTCTCTTTAGTTTTTTTTTTTTTTTTTTTTTTTTTTTTTTCAGAAAACCAATACGAAATTGTTTGGTGTCTGAATCAGTTAGTAGACAATTGTCCGGCCAACAGAATGTCAACATCCTCCGGGGATTCTCATGCAGCCAAGGAATGATGTCAGCCTCGTGATCAGTTGTCAGTTCCAGTTGCCTGACCGACAATGAAACATCAGATGAACCCTAAGAGAGCCATGTTTCGCATCAAACTCTTTTTTGGGGGGGGTCTTTTTTGTCCACTCACTTATACCTGTCCATGAGAGCGCTATCCTCCGAATACAATGCAATACAATACAACAAACAACAACAAACACCAAAGCATCATTCCATTCCATCCAGGTTCATCAGGTTCATGTCCAATGCTTAGGTCCCCTTGTGAACGCCATACAATACAATACACAACAGGACAGTACTCCATACACCAACTGACCAACCAACCAACTAACCAAACAAACAACCGTTTTAGAATCTTACCCTGTCCTTAAAAGTGAGCTTGTGCCCGAAGTGAAGTAAACCCAAAAACCAGTGTACATAACCCAACAAGCGTCATGATCGAGCTGTACCTCCAAACGACCTAACCGGAAACTCTTTACCTAGTGAACAACCCATGAGAGAAACCCCTGCTCCTTCTGCCAATCTAACTCGAAACAATAGTTCATGCAAAGAAAACAGTCATCAACCCCCCCCCCTTCTCCCCCCCTCCCCCCCCCCAAAAAAAAGGAAA